TATACGAATTGCATTTAAGAAAAAAATTATCTGAACTCAAAATCAAATTTAAAACATCCTGCCACACCTGGAGAGCAACGATTTTGTGGATGCAGTGTTTTCCTCCTGTTTTAAGTGGGTTACTGGCTCGCGGTCAGCCACCCAAAGATGACTTAGTTTTTGAAATGAATCTAACTTACAAATGGGGAAGTGAGGGCAATCGAGAGAAAGCCAACTTCCTCGCGTACCGAAGTGCTTGTAGTATACAACGTGCTGTACCCAGCACCTGCCCCTAACGCGCTGTCAGGTCTATGTCAGGCCTCCACTATCGTAAATACCAAAAGTGAAGTGTCGTAGAAATAGATATATGTTGTATAAGACATCACAGGATCATTTTATCGCCAACAGTAAACCTTAAGATAATTTTGCACGTTGCTGCTGGCCTATTTCAATGTTATAAGACGTTGGTTAGCTGTGACCATAACCTTGATTTTCTTGAATATCATAAATGGTCTAAGGTTGTTGCCTTATTAGGTGCAATTCGTCTGAACTGGTCTGACTTACCCGTACATCCGGATATATACTGTTAAGTAAGCGGAGACTACTCTAAAACAATAGACTATAGTTTATTATGCAATATTAACTGATTTAGAGATAAATTACAGCATATTTTCCTGAGCGAACAAATTATGTTGGCAGTGACCACACATTATGGTATAGCAACTGCGGTGAATAATGAAATATATATTTTAATTTATGTTGCTTATTATAGAAAGATTTGGGGGGCATAACATTGAATGGGGAGCCTGTTATGCGTTTGTGTATTGTTACGGTTTCAAATGATTGTATGATGTACTGTCGTTTTTATTTGTACGTGATGTTACACAGTTATGTACAAAGACCATGAATAAAATATGTCTACTGTTCTCATTTTACAATTTTGCTCCTTGCACGCTTAAATCAATACTTGCAAGCTTATATCCCACCCCTTACCGTTATATGAATTGATGATAGTTCAATAACAGATTAAACGTATTACTGGGAAAACGGATGATACAATATAAACTTTTGAGAAAGATGATCAAGAAGACATTAAGAGAAGTAATATTTACGATTTTCATCCTGTTTTCAAGAGGTTGTGTAGATATGTCGAGGGTACCGTTCAGTGTTCACAGATAGATAAGTGTGTGGAGGCGTCGTCCATTTATATACTGTATATCCTGAACGAGTCAATCCTTGAACAGAAGGACTCTGCGCTTGCATTATGGGTAAACATAGGTTGAAAGTAAACAAAGAATATTTAATTATATTTCATACTAGATTTGTATGCTAAGAAAACATAAGAATAAGTATACTGTTGGTTATATAATCTGCTCTTATTATCATATTTTATTGAATGATATATGAAAATTCTTTTAGTCATGAACCTATAGTAAGTTGGTCAGTCAATTCGAAACCTGACGACTTCCCCTGGGTTCCTCCTCTCTCTACACTAACATTCACGCCTATGGTGAATCATTAAATGCCAGATATACTTGTATAGTGAACCAGAGACGAGGGGGTTGAGGCAAGAAGTGGTCGCGGGTCGCTTCAGAGAGGCAACGTTAGAAGTAGAGGATTAATGGAAAAGAGTAACGGGTGGGGCAGAGGATTGGTGGAAAGGGAATAGAGGGTTAATGGGGAAAGGCACAAGGTGGTCACGGGTTGTTGCGGCCGACGCTTTTCTTTATATGATGAGGGGGAATACCCTGATTAGTAAGATCATCCCCGAAGGTAGATTAAGATGACACATGTATGGAGGGAATAAGTGATCGAAACTATGCTTTGATTCTAATTTTAACTAGACAGATTGTTCCCCAAAGAAGTTGGGATAGATAGAGTACCATTACCTAGAGATGTGGTCGTTTTGAATGTTATCAGTAACTTAACCATCGAAGAGGAAATAATTTTAGTGACGTTATAATAAAGTGTTTTGTATACAAGAGTTTCCGAAGCCAACACAGACTGGAGGATAATATAAAGGACAGAAGAGTAATTTGTTTTTCACTCTACAGTTAACTCACGAATTTCTTCATCTGCCTTACCGCTGTAACAGATGCTTGTTAAATTATAATTACTTTTATAAATAAATAGCGATCCGGAGAAATAAATAAAAAGTCAATACATTACCATCATGTTAAAAATCGAGGTTTCAGGCCCTAATATAACTCTTGGTAAGGGTTAAAGAATCATCAACACGTGAACTACCAAGCTTCTATTTATGTAATGTGCACTGTACAATGGGTATATTGATCATAAGTTATTATCCCCGCTTCATCATTCGATCCAACGAGACTCTAGGAGAAAGGTCCATCCATCCATGATTTAAACAGCTTCAAAAAATGATTGAAAAATTCTTAAGAACACTCTTGCACCCTAGAAAAGGAATATTTTTTTGTAGGTCTTTTGATTTTTATATATAAAAAAGAAACAAAAAAAGATCAACAAAGCTAAGAGGATGATGAATACGTCGAGGAGAACCCCAGAGATTAGATGTTGTGGTTGGATCTTACAAGAACGGTAGCTTAAGGGAGGTACAGAAGAGAAGTAAGTGCTTGTGGCAGGCGAGTCAATAGTTCAAAAGTGATCGTAAGATAATGGGTTACAGTGTGTAGCGGTAAAAGAGAAAGTAGGGTCGGGGGGTTTTTGGACAGGATAAAATGAGGATCTGAGAAATGGATCGGTTTAAGTTCCCGAGTTCGACGTTGAAGAGAAAGGGAACTTGTGACGGTGAAGTGACGGAAGAGAGATGGCCGTATGGGCAACACGATGGAAGATTGGAAGAGTTTTAGTGTGACCAAAGATATCAAGGAAGGAAGCTGGCGGCGTCGCTAAATGGAGGGTGGATGTATAAAGCAGTGCGGAAGAAAATACAAGGAAGGAGATGAGTCACTTAAGAACAGATTGAGAAATTAAGACGTTGAAGCAACACAAAATGACATGGAAACCTAATATGAAAAGGAGAGGCAAGACCAAAATAATATTATTATGTGGTGCGACGAGTGGATAGGGGCTATGATTAATAGAGTTCTGAAGTGTTAAACAGAGGGAGGCGATGAAGAAGGTCAGAAAAGGACGAAGTTAAGGGAGAAAGAGATACACAAAAATGCTGAAAGTGAAGCTGGAGTATGGAGGAAACAGACAATGGAAGAACATGGCAGAGATGGAATTAAAAGACGATCCTCTATCACCCTTGAGAATGGCAGAAGTAAGAACGAGTTGCTACACTACATCGTACCCATATTATATCAAGAAGGGTTACTGAAGTTCTAGACAAGCCTATGAATCCCTCCTCCCCCTAAAAAAAAATCTTCTAAAACTCCGATTTCGACTAGAAAACAAACAAAACAGAACGCTGGGCCACTTGAGCATTAATGTGGCCATGGTTTGTGTTAACTTGATGAGTTTCACCATGCCGTCAATGATTTCCACTTCAATCAACTAAAAGAAAAAAAGAAAAAATGAAAAGTGTAAAAAGTGTGCGGATAACAGTATTGCAGGAGACTGTAACAGCTTCCCTCCAGCACCAGCCTGAATAAATTTGCGAACACCAGAATAAGTACGATACAAGTTAAGGCATAAAAGTATAAGAGGTGGTTTCGGCTGATGGTGGTGGTGTGATGGTGTCTTTGGTGGTGGTGACCGTGTTGCTGGTGGTGGTGGCGACTTAGTTTTGGTTGATAGTGGTGGTGATGGTGTCTTTGGTGGTGGTGACTGTGTTGGTTGGTGGTGGTGGCGACTGTGTTGGTTGGTGGTGGTGGCGACGGTTTTGGTTGGTAGTGGTGGCGATGGTTTTGGTTACTGGTGGATGGTGACTGTATTGGTTGGTGGTGGTGGTGTTTTGTGGTGGTGTTGGTGGTGGTGTTGACGGTGTGTGTGTGTGTGTGTGTGTGTGTGTGTGTGTGTGTGTGTGTTTGTGTGTGTGTGTGTGTATGTGTGTGAACAGGATGGTGTAATGCGTCTAGAATGGCAGCATAATGTTAGTCTTAAGGTGCAATCACTACTTTCCTCTCGCTTTCGGCTACTGTGGCTGGCTAGCCCTCGTAGTGATCATATAAGCAACCTTTCGTAAGTCTTCTGTTGGTGCACAGCCTCTAAACCGGGGGTTCCCAAACCTGGGGTCACGCGGAAGGCTCATCAGGTAGGGTCGCAAAGAGGTCGTGGGGTCGCTGGGGTCGCTGGGGTCCTTTGAGTCTGCCAGCTCAGGTCACATGGGGAGAGGATGGGTAGAGTAACTGACCAGTCCCTCCCACTCTCCCACCACTATCCTAGAACAGTTGAGCTGTGCAGTACCCCGCCCACCTCCACCCCCAGTAAAGGGTGGAGCCGGTCGGTGATTGTCAGGCCAGGTGACAGGTCGCAACATATGATGATTTGATCTTGCCTACACTTGCCAAGCATCGGCATGATGCCGCAAGATCAAAGGTTGCGACCTATAGGTACCTGGCCTGATACGGTCACCGACCCAGGCCAGGAAACAGGTCGTAACCTTTGCTCTTGCCGACGCTTGGGGATTATCTTCAGCCTCACCAGTTTAATCCTTAGTAAGGACAATCCTTACTATCAGTAGGTAAGTGCTATGCCAGTGGACCTGCACTGAGTCTGACAAACTGACTGGCCACGGCCTGCTTTGTGACACTAAAATTAATTTGCAATATGAGATGAAGGCCAACTCAGCGCTACTTGATTTATTAAGCAAATTTAATTATGTCATGGTATTTTGTATGCATTCACTTTGTCGTGTATTTTAATTTGTATGCGTATTACCCATTATTTGCCTGTTATAAGCACACTGTATTTTATCTTGTGTTTGTAAAATTGAAATATTTTTAGTACTATATGCAATATATTTTCCAGGCATTATGGATAGGTATTTGAAGACATCATCGGAGCCAGCCACCAAGAAACGGTAACGCTCTATCAATCCATCATTCCTCGACAAGTATGGTGTAGCTGACGTCAGTGGTAAAGGGATTTGTGTTATGTGTTCTAAAGAACTTGCTGAGGAATCTTTGAAGCCGAACAAACTACAGAGACACATGGAAACTCACACAAATGTTGCTGTACTTTCAGAAGAGGCTCGCAAAAGAATTTTTCATCATCTTTATAAAAATCTGACTAAGTCTCAGTTAATTTTAAGCAGAGCACTATCTCACAAGGAAAGGATGGAAATGTTCTCATATAAGACAGCTTTTTTCATTGCTCAGCAAAAACGTCTTTTCACGGAGGGTGAGGCTATCATAAAGCCAACTTTAAGGAACTTTTGCGAAGTATTTGAGGGTGAACCATTTGCCAAAAAGATAACTGAAGCTGTTGATGATGCTACGCTGAGTAACAACGCAATGACAAGACGCCTCCAGTGTCTTGCAGCAGATCTGAAAGAACAAATTTTGGAAGACTTCAGAAATTCCCCATGGACAGTCCTGGCAGTGGACGAGTCAACTGATATTACATCACAGCCGCAGCTTCTGATCTTCGGAAGATTTCTTAAGGAATCCTCAGTAGCTGAGGAACTGCTTGCTTGTATTTCACTTGAAACTGCAACACGAGGCGAGGATATTTTCAGTGCTATAGATAAGTTCTTCACTGAAAACAACTTGGAATGGAGTAAGGTAACTGAATGCAGCATGGATGGTGCCCCATCAATGATGGGCAAGAACATTGGATTGGGTGGAATTTTATCAAGAAAACATCCTCACATTAAAACAAACCACTGCATCATCCATCGCCAGAGTCTGGCATCAAAAGACATGTTTCAGAGCTTCTCTGATGTGAAGCAGGTAGTCATTGCAACTGTCAATTACGTGAAGGCTAAGGACCTGAATTCCCGCATGTTCAAACAGTTGTGCATTGCTGAAAATTGTAATCACCACACACTGCTGATGCATACTGTTGTCAGGTGGCTGTCACGGGGAAAAACCTTAGAAAGGGTTTTCCTCCTTCTCAGTGAACTGGCATCCTTCCTGCAAGATCGGGGTCATAAGAATACTTCAGTGAAATAATTTGGGTTCGCACTGGATAGTTGATAGACCAACAGGGGATCTCGGAACAGCAGTGGGCCCCAGAGGGACGGTGCATAGGTTGACTGGCATTTGAACACGTCCTGGCCCTTTCCAACCACTGCTCTGCTGCCTCGCATCAGGCAGTCATGCTTACAGAGCTCCAGTAAGACTCCAACGGCGGTGTAGGCGGAAGAGGTGACCAACATGGGAACCCACTAACTATACCGGCAGATGAAGGCAATGCATGATGCACAGGCTACTAAGCCAACAAACTGGGCTATCGGCAGCCCATTGCAACTCTCCCTCTTCCCAGTCGTTGCAACTACCTGCACCACTGGATCAGGAAAAGGGAGAGCCAAGATATGTGGTTGCAGCCTGGGCAGAGATGACTGCCGGGAGTCTCTAATCACAACTCTGAACATGGATGGCATAGATTAGATGGTCGTTTATGCACTGGGATCTAGACAGCAGTGCAATCAGGTCCTGTCTGTGCGACTGAGCAGGCCTTTCCAGGAGCCATTCTGCTCACCCCACATTAGGAGGGGCGAGAAAAGGTGCCCTAAACATAGCCTGCCTAGAAAAACAACCTGACCGAGCAACTGCACCCATTAAGGTCATCTTCATGCGGTCGAAAACATAATCATAATCACAGATCAAAGCAAAAACAAACGATACAACCGTGTATGGTCGCTGTATGGGATATCAGGACCCTTCTGGATACTGGCACAAATGGGCATCCTGAAAGAAGAACTGTCCTTGTGGAAAAAGAGCTTCTAGTTATAATATTGACATAGCAGCCATTAGTGAGTCCCGGCTCCCAAACGAGGGTCGACTCACAGAATGGGGGCCCAGCTATACCTTCTTCTGGAAGAATAAGCCTGCTGCAGAGAGGAGCCACATTTATGGAGTTGGCTTTGGCATTCGCCAATCCATTCTACACAGGCTAGCTGAAATGTCTGATGGGATCAACGAGCTCCGAGTCCCGCTTAATGACTCATGTCATGCTTTCTTCATCACTGCATACGCCCCCAACACTGGATACAGAGGATGTCGTCAAGGAGGCCTTTTACGCCGACCTTGACAGATTGCTAACCTCTATCCCAAAAAAAGATAAGGTTGTGCTCCTAGGTGACTTCAATGCCAGGGTTGGCAGAGATGCTGTCATTTGGCAGGGAATCATAGGGAGAAACGGAGTAGGCAAGTGTAATCCCAACGGCCTACACCTCCTCAGCAAGTGTGCTGAACACAACCTCACTATCACTAACACCTTGTTTAGGCAGGCCGACAAGTTCAAGGGTTCTTGGCAATACCCACGATCCAAACATTGGCATCTCATTGACTACACCATTGACAGAGATCAGAGAAAGAGATCACCAAGATGTCCTCATCACCTGAGCCATGCGTGGTTCAGACCACTGTGACACAGATCATCGGCTTGTCAGAACCAAACTCTCCCTTCACGTTGCTCCAAAACGGCGAAGGCAACAAGCCTCCAGAAGAGGCTCGAGTCCTCCGAAACAGACTTCTCCCTGAAGCGGAAAATTTCTTCTCAGAATCTTAATGTGTCCTTAGACCAGCACATGGCACTACTGACATGATCTTTCCTGCCCGCTAGATACAGGGAAAGTGCAGAGAACAGCGTCGTGACTTGTACATGGACTTCATTGATCTTACTAAGCCCTTCGACTCGGTCAACAGGGAAGCCCTCTGGCGGACCCTCAGTCGTTTTGCTGCCCACCAAAATTCATTGTCATTGAGAGACAACTTCACGTTGGCACCCAGTCTGAGTTCTTCCCCATCCAAACAGGGGTAAAACAAGGATGTGTACTGGCGCCAACTCTGTTTTTCATTTTCTAGGCTGCCTTCCTTACTCGTGCCAGTGCCAATTTATCCGGTGGGGTGGACATCCAGCACCGGATGAAGGGACTTTTCAACATAAGACCACTCCAGTCAGGAAGAAAGGTGTCGGCCGCTTCCAGCACTGAAATTCAGTACGCAGACGATGTCACCCTCGTCGCTCACACTGAATACGACCAACAGGAGATCCTGAACACCTATCCAGATGCGTACTCACACGTCGGCCTTGAGGTGAATGCACGTATGACTCGGATTCTATTTCAGCCTGCCCATGGTTCAACCACACCTTACCCATCCATCCATCCAGCTTAATGGTACTACTCTCTCTAATGTTACCCACTTTCAGCACCTTGGCTCCCACCTGTCCCTCACAGCAGACATCAATGAAGAGATTCAACATTGGATCAGATGTGCATCTCAAGCCTTTGGCAGACTCCATACTTGTGTCTTCAGCTGTAGGGAGCAAAATTATCTACAAAGTTGCACGTTATCGAGCAGTGGGTCACAAACAGGAGGCACCACAAGGCATTTGAAAACTTTCACCAACTTAGTCTACGCATTGTCGCTGACACCAACTGTAGGAGAATAGAGGCTACCATTATCCATGAACAACTACACTGGACCGGCCATGTTATCCGCATGGACGACAGTAGACTGCTAAAGCAGCTATTTTCCAGTTTCCTAAAGAATAGTAAACGTAACGCTGGCGGACAGCGGAGAAAGAAGAAGGATAGTCCTAAAACAAACCTGAAAAAGTGCTAAATCGACCCGCTCACCTGGGAGACGATCACTCCATACCGTAACGCTTGGGGGAGCACCGCGCGAGAAGGTGTCAATACTTTCGAGTTAGTCCGACTGCATACCTAGGCAGACAAGCGCCAGCACCTGAAAAACGCTCCAGCTACCCATCCTACACTAGATGTAGTCCTCCACAAGTGCAACATCTGTGGACGGTCGTGATGATCCTATAACGGCCTCTCGAGTTACCTCAGAGCTCACCAATGAAGGTGACATCCTTAATAACTCATATCATTTTACCATAGCTGGATGATCGTCATACTCGATTGCGAGTGACAGCAAAGTAGTAGTAGTAGTAGTATTAGTAGTAGTAGTACTATAAGTAACGGTGTTGGTTGGTGGTGGTGACGGTGTTGGGTGGTGGGGTGGTCGTGGTCACGTTATTGGGTTGTGGTGGTGATGGTTTTGGGTGGTGGTGAAAGGTGATGGTAGTGGTGATAGTGCTGGGTGATGATGGTATTGGTGGTGACGGTGTTGGTTGGTTGTGGTGATGGTGTTGTTTGGTGGTGGTTGTGACGGTGTTGGGTGTTGGTGGTGACAGTGTTGGGTGGTGATGAGAGTGTTGGGTGATGGTGTTGGTGGTGACGGTGTTGGGTGGTGGTGGTGACGGATTTGGGTGATGGTGACGGTGTTGAGTGGTGGTAATGGTGTTGGTTGGTGGTGCTGGTGATGGTTGATGGTGGTGACGGTGTTAGGTGGTGGTGGTAATGGTGTTGAGTAGTGGTTGTGGTGACGGTATTGAATGGCGGTGAAGGTGTTAGCTGGTGGTGGTGACGGTGTTGGGTAGTGGTGATGGTGTTTAGTGGTGGTGGTGGTGATGGTGTTGGGTGGTGGTGATGGTGTTGGTTGGTAGGTGACGGTGTTGGGTAGTGGTGGTGGTGGCTACGGTGTTGGGTGGTGGTGGTGGTGCTGGTGTTGGTTGGTGGTAAGGGTGTTGGTGGTGGTGGTGGCATTGTTGGGTGGTGGTGGTGGTGATGGTGTTGAGTGGTGGTGATGGTGTTGGGTAGTGGTGATAGATGTTAAGTGATGATGACGGTGTTGGGTGGTGGTGGTGGTGGCTACGGTGTTGGGTGGTGGTGCTGGTGTTGGTTGGTGGTGACGGTGTTGGTGGTGGTGGTGGCATTGTTGGGTGGTGGTGGTGACGGTGTTGGTTGGTGGTGATGGTGACGGTGTTTGGTGGTGGTGGTGACAGTCTTGAGCGGCGGTGATGGTTTTGGTTGATGGTTATGGTGACGGCGTTGGGTGGTGATGGTTTTGGTTGGTGGTGATGGTGTCGGTGTTGGTGGTGGTGGTGACGGTGTTTGGTGGTGGTAATGACGGTGTTGGTGGTGGTGGTGGCGATGTTGGTCGGTGATGGCTGTGTTGGTGGTGTTGTTGGTGATGGTGCTGATAACAGTGCTTGCGAGTGATAGTTGGTGGTTTGGGTTGGTGGTGGTGGTGACGGCGGTGTTAGTTGATGATGGTGGTGATGGTTTTGGTTGTTGGTGGTGGTGGTGGCTTTGGTGATGGCGCCTTTCTCTCTAACATCCATGAATAAATCTTGCTTGAGGTGAACATTCCTAGATTCTCGTCAACTAACCTCAAAACCAAACACCGGATGCTCACGTCACGGAGACACTCTGAGTAATGTATTGCACACAGGCAGACTCACCAGAGTTTAAACAAGTTATAATTGGTTTTTAAAAATGAGGAAACTGCAAGAAACTACAGTAGTAACGCGTATCGACCACATCCTGTTGGCCTCCGTGCTAGTGTGGTTGTTTCTCCCAGGACGGGTGTCTCATGAACTGCCCCATAACTGCTGCACTCCTGGGGCGAAACAAATGAAAAAGAGCTCATAAGAACTATATAGGTATTAATGGATGGATAAATAATTAGTTAAATATATACCTATCGATTTATCTATGCTTCTATAAATGGAATTAACTTATATATGCCCGTGTATCTGTATATGTACTGTATGTTCTCCTCTCATAACCTTCAGTGGCAGTTTGAATAGCAATGATGGGTGTGGGTGTAGGTCGGCGCTGTGTGGAAGTGAGTGGTGATTGGAGGCGGGTTTAGGTGGTGGACATTATGTAGATGGATAGGTGGGTGTAGAGAGGGGGGTGGGTATAGGTGCTGGTAGAGATGAACGATGTGTGAGTAGAAAGATGGATGTAGACGGTGGTGGACGGTGGGTTTAGGGTGGTGGTGGATGCAAGTTGATGTATGGTAGGTGGAGGTGTTGGGAGAGAAGACCAACGTGAAGACTCCAATTGATTAGGTTTATGTAAAGGTTTTGTGTGGGGGTGTAGCCACACGTGCTCCCGCTGTTGTTTTGGTCAAGGTCCTCTGTGCTAAGAGGGATGGCTTGTCAAGTGACACAAGACTTGTTGCTACGCCCACACCATCGCTCCGGCATGTCCTCGTCCGCGCTTGCACCTCCACCAAACACGACTTATTATTCTTGGACACGAACACACACACACACACACACACACACACACACACGTATTCACTCCCAGTAAACACTGCTCCCTACACTGTCACTATGTTGAAATGAACTGTAGTTTGAGCTGATCCCCATCTAAGTTACTATATGTCTTATTTGTGTCACTTATGTCACTTGTATATTATTTGTAATTCGTAACCCATTCCCCAAATATGTAACTGTATATTTTCAGCCTTCTGGCTGCCAAGCTCTTTCAATAAACCGTTAATTATTAGTATTATTATTATTACACACACACACACACACACACACAAAGCTTATGTTCAGGATTTACACCATCCCCGACACCGGCCCCTACTACCACCTGAGATCCCCTGTCCGAGAATTGCTGTTCGACACCACAACCGCATCCAGCCCATACGTGCACGAACTGATCGCTATAAGAACAGCCCAGTCCCAACCATTGTAAAAATTATCAATAACATGTAATAGATCAGTGTATTCACTCCCAGTAAACACTGCTCCCTACACTGTCACTATGTTGAAATGAACTGTAGTTTGAGCTGATCCCCATCTAAGTTACTATATGTCTTATTTGTGTCACTTATGTCACTTGTATATTATTTGTAATTCGTAACCCATTCCCCAAATATGTAACTGTATATTTTCAGCCTTCTGGCTGCCAAGCTCTTTCAATAAACCGTTAATTATTATTATTATTATTATTACACACACACACACACACACACAAAGCTTATGTTCAGGATTTACCCGGGAATTTCTCAAAGCAAGGTTTTGGCCTCTGGTTATATGAATTTTTTCTCGGCAGTCCGATTGAGTAAGGTAAGATGTTTTTGGGGATTGCTTTTTCCATCCAGGTAAAAAAAATAACCTTGAAACGTCTCTAAAACATTGCTACATGCTGATTATTCTTCGGTTTGCGACTAGGTATGAGTCCATCCCTTTATTTATTTATTTATTTATTAAGCACTATTTTTGAACTAATTAACGATGAACAAATCTACCCAAAATCTTGTTCCACAAAGTTGTTCTGTCTTCCTGAGGTAATAAAACTCCCCACTTTTTTGTTCTTCCTAGAACGAGTAACCTTCAATACCATTTTTTATGATTGACTGACAAGATTAAATTAGGTTCCCCACCAGTCTTGGAAATTCCCGTGTAAAACCTCAGCGTTTAATTATGGCAGCTACGGAGCGCAATATAAACGCCTCCCATTGCAACGCATGAAGGACTGGTTTGTCAGAGATTGGTACGCTCATATTCTCTCACTAGCTGGGAGATGTGAGAGCGCCTGTAGTGGAACGATACAAAGATGACTGTCAAAATGATGTCGAAGTTTGAGTGAAGTGTTTAACGTAGAACTTTTTGAGAATCCAACTACAGGATTTGGATTCAGAAATAATCTTAATTTTTGTCTTTTTGAAGAGGTCAATAAGTTTTTTTTTCAAACACAGAAAACATGACAAATATGTTTAAAAAAAATTATCGGTCAGTGACAAATAATGATATAGGAGTTTAAATAATCCTGTGTAATTATGATCTTGAACATAATCTCTGTGTATTACTTTAAGCCAGACAACTAGATGCGTACTTTCATCCTAGGTCTCGAGGATGATTCCACTGACGAAACGCTAACGTTCGCCCTCCTGTTATTAGCGGCATTAATGTTAGCGACTGCTGTCAGAGTAGATGAATCTTTTTGTCTACCTGTTTGTCTTCCTGTCCGTCACCTACAGTGCCCATCATCAGGGCGAACTCAGCACTTACTGCATGTTAATCCCCACGTATAGATAAGCTCCTCAAGGCTAACTTCCTCATGAAGAAGAAGCATCGTTTCAACGAGTCACGACCACCACGTGCAAGATCTTATCATATAATACATCTGGCAAAGTCACTTTTAACTGAAACAACCATGGACGAAATCTCCCAAATGATGTCCGTCACCAACACAATCTCACTGAACAGAAATCTCTTTGGGCAAAATCCCTCGAGTGACGCCAATCACCGACATAATCCCAGTGGAAAAAAAGAAAGAAAAATTTCCACAGGACAAAACTATCCCTGGAGAAAATCACAGTATACGGATATACCCAGACATGGTAGAATCTCAGTCCTATAGAATCTCAGTCCTATGTCACCATAATTTTAGTTACCGTCTTTGTACCTTTTCACAAGAGCCACTTCCCCCATCACCACTTAGTATCTAAACTTATCGTACAAACTTCTGAAAATCCATATTGTGTCTTGGATTAAGTTAGTAAGGTATATAACAGTGAGACAGATATTTGAAGCAATTAGATATATTCTCGAATCTCCAATTAACGGGGAATGAAACCTTGGAAATCCATTATAATGTCTTTGGTAAACTTTAGTTATCTTCCCCTGTACAGTTATGAAAGACAATTTAACGTAAGTATATTTACGACCTGTTGGCCTTGTAATGAGGCTACCACATATTTTTTCGTAAAACAGTATATTGTGAAAGTCGAATAAAAAAACAACAACACACACACACTAAAGGTCTTTCCTTCCACCTCCACCACCGCCCACCACCACCGCCACTGCCACCACCTCCACCACCGCCCACCACCACCGCCACTGCCACCACCACCGCCACTGCCACCACCTCCACCACCGCCCACCACCACCGCCACCACCACCACCGCCACTGCCACCACCACCGCCACTGCCACCACCACCGCCACTGCCACCACCACCGCCACCGCCACCACCACCGCCACTGCCACCACCGCCACCACCACCATGCTGACCCATTTTTATAACAATCACACACATACATTTCACACATTCACATATAATTACTATTCACTTACAGTTCAATATATCTATCACGTCATCCATATAATGTGCAAGTAAGTGTATTTCATCGCATTAAATTTGAGAAAATCGCCAAATAGCTATTCACATTGTACTTATAAGTAATAATCTCGTAATAATATGCCTAACCTAACCTAACCTAACTTAACTTATTAAAATTTGCAGTACGAGGTTTAAAATATACACCTTTTAAAAATACAATTTATTAAACAGACAGTGACGATATAATGTGAAGTACAGCTGCATAGTTTGGAAGTTTTAATTCATAGGAGTTAATTTCTGGCTATATTATTTTTGGCAATTGAAAATTTATTCATACTGCCAAGAGAGTCCATTTCTTAATCGCTGAACTAGTTTAGACTGGAGTAACTGTGATAGTAGATAGTTGAGTTGGTCCATGTTGAAGTAAACGTATAAGTAGATGGTTGACTATCCCAGGTTGGAAGGGGCTAAGTGGTAGTTATCAGAGCTTGTCGATATTGGGGTAGAAGTTGCAGGAAGTTGGAATGATAGAAATGGTGGACAGTTAATCGCCCCACGTTGAAGTACAGGTAGTTGAAGACGATTAATTTACCTCATGTTGGAGTAGATCCAGGGTATATACCGCGAGAGCTTGGTATAGACGCCAGGTTTGTTGGGTCTAGCGCAACCGTGCCCCCAGCTGGTGATTCCTACGGCGGTGTAGCGACCTGGAGGTGAGACACATGACATAGATGTTATGATTGGGGCTGTTTATAATACGTACTGTACTGTATATAGTTATATATGTAAATTCAACCAGGCTTTCAAGATTCATTTCCCTCCTATCTTACACACACACACACACACACGCCATTCTTATACACTCTCCTTGAAACTTGTTGAAGTCACTACCACATCATTGAACTAACTTTATTCATTACTCTAACGATTCGGGCTTCACAGAGACCATCTTCAGTGAGAATACAACAAGTGGAAGTTGGAAGTTGTTTGGGGATTACTGGCCACTTCGCCGTTAAGCTATTTCGGCCTTAGCTGTTTGTTTGCTGATTAATTTTTTGGGACTTCTTCCTTTTGTTCTTTTTACTTTTCAATTGCCATCCTTCTTCTTGGTCTTGTTCTGGCATATTCTCGTAAACGTCTAAAAACGGTGTTGATGTGAATGTTACTAAATCGTTTTCTTCGGTCTTGTTTAATTCTGGCTTCTTTTCTGTGGTCGTCTTGGGGTCTTGATTTTCTTTTCTGTGGTCTTGTTGAGGGTCTTGATTCTTCTTTTCTTCGGTCTTCACTTCAAGAAGAGCCTCCTTGTAGCTCAGTTTTTTCTTGCTTCGCAGCTTAGCCACCCTACACTCTTCCCTCCGCTTCGGACACTCCAGGTTGGAGGAGTGAGGGCCACCACAAGCTGCGCATTTCTTGGCGGCCGCGGAGCAGGTGGTGTGCTGGTACCCAGGTGTCCCGCAACTGCAACAGACCTCCCGAGCACTACACTTCCCTGCCAGATGGCCATACCTCTGGCATTTGTAACATCTTGTTGGTCTTCTTTCATACGGTCTTACTGGGATGTTCTCCCATCCCAGCAATACTGTGCTTGGTAAATTCTTGGGGAAGCCAACCAGTGCAGTTGCACTGGTCAGCTTCCGTACTATTGAAAGCTGGTCTCCGATCAGCTCGGCCAGTTCTTCTTTTTCAAGGTGTGGGAGATGACTCCCAACACCAAGTTGTTCTCTGTGCGAGCTTCCACTAGTATCTGGATCCCGTAAATTTTTGTTATGTTGGCTATTTGCTGGGCCTGTCCCCATTCCGCGAAGGTGACGATAAGGCCACCACTCACTGGTCTGCGGACGACCCTTCTCACCCCCTCGATTCCCAAGGAGTCAAAAAACTTCATTAGGACAAGGAGGTTTAGTTGCATGTGCGAAGGGCATGTGACTGGGTACAGTCTTACGACCTTCGCCTGGTCACAGGTCAGCATCGTCAGGTTCACGGGAGCAGAGAAGATCTTGCCTCCGAGGTGCAGTTCTTGGTTGTAGGAAGTCAGAGACTTGTACCCCGGGTGCACCTCACCTCTCTGGACGCTTTGTCGTGTCGGAGCCAGGTTGGCTGTCAATTACCTGACTTGACTAGCTTACTATGTAACGTCTGTGTAGCCCAATGTTGTGACTGTTAACCTAAGGTTAGGATTTAAGAACCTCTGGCAGTATATCCCTTAAACAAAGTGAACAACACAAAATATAAAGTGTGTGTGGCTAGACATGTGGCCACACACACACACTTGAACACTATGTCCTAGACTGAGAAAATAGAATCTTTTAGGGACAGGTGCAAGCACACTGTGTCAGAACGAACCACACAACGTATATGAATACCTCTGAAAAAAAATATATAGTGTGCGCCCACCCTATGGCAGCATGTCTCTCATGCAGGGTTAAACAAGTCAACTGCTATGTACTGTACACAGCCAAAGAAACAATGTACTGGAAATAACCTGACTACTGGCGTCTGTTATATACCCTTTGTAACCTCTACTCTTTAATCCTGTTTGTGCTACCACTCACGGTGTGTGTATGGAATGCTCACTGAACTAGCCGCTGTCTGCAGCAAAATTAAATTCAAACTCATCCACACATACTGTACATATATCCCTTCTCACACATAGACATCCTCCTCTCACACACACACACACACACACACACACACACACACACACACACACACACACACACACACACACACACTCTAGGAAAAAAATAAAACCAGTTTGATCCACTCGCAGACCCCTCACCTTCCCGCTCCCAACCCTTATCGATGAAACAATCTGTAGACGTTCCTCCTTTGGTCCTCTTTCCTACCCCTAATACCTCCTTATCTGTTTAATTTCTCCTTTCTCCACCTTCACCTTCCCTACCAATCCCATCTTCCCTCCTCCTTTCCTTTCTGTCCCACCTCTTCTCTTAACCTCAGGACCTACCCTCAACGAAGCAGACCATTGGCCCACCAGAGTCGCCCTGACAGGTGTCTATCCCGCCCTCCATGTGGCCAGCACAGTACATTCCCTGTGTAAGACGAGCCGGGCCGTATACGTGGTCCGCCTCGCATGTCTCTTCTGGCAGGATGGGTAGAAGAGCTGATTGTAGGACTTTCGAGTACCCTGTGTTGGAGAGAGAGAGAGAGAGAGAGAGAGAGAGAGAGAGAGAGAGAGAGAGAGAGAGAGAGAGAGAGAGAGAGAGATTATTACTCTTTTATTTTATTTTATAAGACTTTGATCTATTTTATAATTTCAGCTTAGAAGATTACTGTTTATTTATTCATTAATGCCAGGCTTACGAATCAGTCCATTCATTATAGGGTACATAGGTAGACGATACAAGGACAATGGGGTAAATACCTAACACAGTACTAGAAGAAGGGGTTACCTATACCTATTACGCTAATAACACAAACGCTGTACCTGTTAGGGATACTTACCAAGCGTGACACCCAAGCTACCCCATCCTGCCACGGTGCAGTTGAGGTAAGGGGGGTACTTCCATCTGGAGGGAACCATACACAGGGGCTGCACGAACCTACCAAACCTATGGGGGGAGAAGGAGGGTAAATTATGAGGTAAACACAAAAATAGTGATGATGTTAATACCGAAATTTTTTTAAGACATAAATATTGCAGAAAGAGATGAGGGCCACTGTCAACATGATTTGAATTGATGGAGAATAAATGGCACTCTCAGGCAAGTTGTTCCACAGGATGCTGGTCCACGGTAGAAATTCTGCCCAATGGAATATCAAAAGGAAAGTCAGATAGGATATTCACAGGTGCCCTCGTAGGACACCGGGGAGTGCATGGTAGTGGTGGTAGTGGCACTATTGAGTGTAATTTGCCAGAACACTGCATTTATCGAATAGGAAAAGCGATGTTGTTAATAATAATAATAATAATAATAATAATAATAATAATAATAATAATAATAATAATAATAATAATAATAGTAATAATAGTAATATCTCCACAAACTCCAGAATAATAACCAGTACAGATGATAATTATTAATTGCCACGCTCTGGTCTGTAATACTTATACCGTTAGAAGATGCACATGGGAGGAACTTGCCAATCATCCAGACTTCCTTCCTTCCAGTGCGTTTCCTTTCTTAATATTACAAAATAACACCTTTGATAAGTAATGGTCCGGTTGGCCTTTGTGGTTCATGGACATTTACCGCAGAGCAAGTCCCCAAGGTCCTTCTCTGGTTTCTGCCCGAATGCTTTGGTTACCTCTTCTTCAGTTTCTCAACTGAATATACATCACTGTCCTTGGTTCAAATTGCCATTATGTTTACTATTGTTGTGTCCTGCGGTGTTGTGGTTACATTGGAAACAGTACACCTCAAAGGTCTATGTATTGTATATACCTGCATTGTCGATATACATATTTAATTGTATACCTGCATTTTCTATATACATGCAACACCAATTATTATAAACATTCGCTCTGCAGTTTTCGTTCTTGACTGTTACGTATTTTCTTGTCTTCTACACTGACCTTGAAGATTTACCTGTTGCTATCCTGCGTTCTCGTTGTGTAACACCAATCTCAGACCGACAATTTAGAAATAAATACAATACTATAAGCTCAAGTACAGGTAGATATCCAGCTACAGGTGATAGTGCATTTATAGTAACATATACAGACACAGGTACAATAACAGGTGTAGGGAATGTTACAAGTTTATGAATAAGTGAGGTGATAAGGGTCTCTACAGGTGTATACAGGTATTACTAGAGGTACAGGAACCAGTGCAGCTGCAGGTACAGGAATAAGTGCAAGTATAGCTACAGGTACAATAACAGGCAGAGGAACAGGTACAGGTACAAACATAGTTACAGGTATAGGAATAGATACTAATACAGTTACAATATTTTAATTATACTCAGTGCATTATATGAGGTATATATATATATATATATATATATATATATATATATATATATATATATATATATATATATATATATATATATATATATATATATGTGTGTGTGTGTGTGTGTGTGTGTGTGTGTGTGTGTGTGTGTGTGTGTGTGAATAAAAACTAGTTCATGGAAAAAGCCCCACTGAACAGATGCGAAGAGTAAACTCATGATATTTAAACCGGATTGTCATGAAAAGCAAAAAATGCTCACAACACACAAAAACGAGACGACAGGATTTTTTATGACCTTAATTTATTTGTGTTTAGTGACATCAAGTGCATCCACGTATTTGACATTGTTAGTTAATTTGTATATGCTTTAGGGCCGAATATTTGAGTGACTGACGCCATCTATGAGTTATGCTATGACTTACTGAATGCCTCGCCCGTTTTTCTTCTCTACCTTCAGCAAGGCGATGTCGTTGTTGAGGTATGGACCTTTGTCGTACTCTGGGTGCAGGACCACAGCCGACACACGAAACTCTTGCTCTTCCTCCTCTTCTTCCTGTTAGGGATGTAAGAAGATGGAAAAGGAGAAGGGGAAGGAGAATAAAGGTACATATTGAATAAGGAAATGGATTGGAGTGAAGGAGGAAGGGGGAAGGGAGAGGGGAGAAAGGAAGAGGAGAAACAAAACAGCACAGGAGGGAAGAAGCAGAAGAGGGTAAAGGGAGAGAGGAAGGAGAGTAAAGAGTGAAAGGAAGAAAGCAAAGGAGAAGGGGCTTAAGGGAAGAGATGAAGGAAAGGAGAGAAGGGTGACAAGGAATGGCAGGGGATGAAGAGAGAGAGAGAGAGAGCACTTAAAATCAAGTAGATACAGACAGTAGTGTCATGTCATTATATTGATGCTCACTTGCAAAAACATGCATATATTTATTGGTACATACTTTACCATTTGATTGAATTCGTACAGTACATTCATGCACTACCCTCTTACATGAGTATTAAAGTCTCCGATTTTGAGGAGGTAGGTGGTGGCCGGGTACTTGAAGACACAGTGACCCGCAGTCAGGACGTATTCCTCCCCCAACACAGCTCCTCCGCACCACTGGGTAGGCCCTGTACGCGTTAACAGGTTGATGGCCACCTGTCACCACCACGTTAAATACACAATAAGAATCACGTGACACTTTGAAGTCTAAATGCAACATATAAATACAGTTTCCGATAGTCTAAGTCAGAATTAGGAGTCCAAGTGAATGCAGAATCAGATGAATACATTATCAGGATCATAAGCCTTAAATTCAAAAGCATAAGAAGAGGCTTCACTCAGAAGTATAAGCGAATACAGAATCAGATACTTTAAATTCAGATATTTATGCACAAATTCATGTTGAGATAAATTATATACAAATTCAGAATTATGAAAAAAATCACTGGTTAATTAATTTTGGCAGGAACGGGATTATGGGATTAAAATAGTTTAAAGGTCGAAGTTTAATTGTTTTTGACATCTGAAAAAATGTGATATCATATTTTACATTAACTGTGATACAAAGAAGAGTTATTAAAACTGTGTAATAGTAAGATAATAATAATAATAATAAAAATAATAATAATAATAATAATAATAATAATAATAATATGATAATAATAATAATAATAATAATAATAATAATAATAATAATAATAATAAAAATAATAATAATAATAATAATAATAATAATAATAATAATAATAATAATAATAATAATAATAATAATAATAATAATAATAATAATGTGTGGTGTCATTATGTATCATATATATATATATATATATATATATATATATATATATATATATATATATATATATATATATATATATATATATATATATATATATATATATATATATACATAACCACAAGGAAAGAAGAAAACACTTCGTGTTTTCTTCTTTCCTTGTGATCAGCATATACCTAGATCACACGCACCTACAGTGATTTACTTGCATATATATATATATATATATATATATATATATATATATATATATATATATATATATATATATATATATATATATATATATATATATATAAGGCATGGGTGTGTCCCCAAGCATGCATGCGATACGTTTCAAAACAAGATTTCGACAGAGTGCGCCAGCGACCTTCAGTTGTACCCCTGCGGAGATGGAAATCCCCGGATGAGAGGTTAGAGGAGTGAGGGAGGCAGGAGGCAGGGATAGGGGGGGGGATAGAGGGAGAGAGGGAGGGATGGGGAGAAGAAAGGAGGGAGAGAAGGACAAAGGGAGTGGGTGCGTCTGGTCGCGACAGCTAAGTTATTATTATTATTATTATTATTATCATTATTATTATTATTGTTATTATTATTATTATTGTTATTATTATTATTATTATTATTGTTGTTGTTGTTGTTGTTGTTGTTGTTATTATAATTATTATTATAATAATTATTATTATTATTATTATTATTATTATTATTATTATTATTATTATTATTATTATTATTATTATTATTATTATTATTATTATTATTATTGTTGTTGTTATCTCTGGTATAATAAACAAATAATTAACATCATATAATTACTTGTTTATCATCCTTCTAGTTACGTCACAAAGGGTAACAGTGTGGTAGAGGTGAGGTGGACAGCAAGAACAGTGACTGGTGTGAAGTATTGTGATAATGAGACCGATAGTCAGGCTATGATGATGTGTGCGTGGCCTTCAAGCAGGGCCGGATTTACCTACTTGTGGTCCCCAGGCCAAACTGAACCGGCTGGTTAATTCCGAGTTAACCAGGTTGGTACATTTATAGTATACTGGGCTTTAGTAACGAAACCCAATTGAAGTTTCTTCTTTTATTAAAAAGTATTGTTTGTATAATTCATGAGTGTAGATCAACCGTAACTTCCACTATTTACGAGCGTGAAGAGAGAGGACGGAGGCTACGTAAATAGGCCGTATTATCAACGTCCGTTCGATGTAAGACTGTGAGTGAGACTAGCAATGGGCGCCGGCTTATGCGGGCTGACAAGTGCTGACATGCAGTGAAATGAGCCGCACCCCTAAAGGAATCTACCACTCAAGTAATCTGGTCATGACAACTCATAGCCGGTGGAAAGTTACAGGGGATGAATTTGAATATATATATATATATATATATATATATATATATATATATATATATATATATATATATATATATATATATATATATATATATATATATATATATCTTGATATAATCACACGGGAAAAGGGAAACAACGGAGCACCTTAGCTTTCGTCTTTATTCAAGACATCTTTAGAGGTGCTCCGTTGTTTTCCTTTTCCCGTGTGATTTTATCAAGATTTATCTTATCCACGTTTTCATTGTGGATCTACATGAAATATATATTATATTTTTTTATTATTTTCTTTTTACTTTAATTATTTTGCAATGGCCAAATGTCATCAAATATTACATAATATAATATTATAATGTAAGAAATAAGAATTTCAACACAATGTGACACATCATTACTTGTAATCAAATTAGTTCTATATCATGTACATCTTATATATGGGAATAATGAAAGAAATACAATTAACTTGAAGCATAATCAATTTTGCAAGCACATGAAGTACAGCAAACTGTGTGAATTTCAAAATAAATTCTTCCTACTTTTTTTTCATGGAAAATTTGTCAATGATACTGTTTGTGTCAAGGGATTGTAGGAGGCCAGATTCAATGCATAATAATGAAAGTGAGTTTAATCTGGTTTGTCCCATGGTAGACCTCAGGTGATTTTTCACCCTAGATAGAGTAGAGAAAGACCTCTCTCCTTCACAATTTGTAATGGGGATGGTAAGGCAGTTGTCAAAATACCATCTTTGGACCTCATCAAAGTGAAGATGTTTGTCACTGACTTGTCAGATTCGAAGACAAAATGTCTTTAAATTGCAAAAACTCATCTAGAACAGATGCTTCCAGGTCACTGGAATAGGTACTGACAACCAATTCCAGTTGGGCTTTGAGATCATCATATTTCATACTGTCATACTCCGTTAAGAAGCTAAACAGCTTCTTTATTTCTGAGTAGGCATTCACTCTGTGCTCTAATTCATTCCTAAGGCAATCTAATATGGTGTAGAAATTGTCCACCTTGAACTTCTCACGTGGATCAAGTTGAGTTTCAGTGCCAACTGATTCATCAAAGAAATGTTTTCTCTTTTTGTTCTTTTTGTTGTCTCTGTGTAGACAGGCTCAGCAAAAGCACCTAGCCTGATCTTCTATTTCATCAAACTGACCCTGTCTCATTTCTGAGACGAAGGAGATCAAACTCTCATACAGTTTCACAACTGACAGAAGGTCGGTCTCAACTTTTTGAAGTGATAAGCTGGTTGCATTAAACCTTGTTAAGATTTTATACCACATTACAGTAAGTAGTGCTGTTTCAAATGCTTCCATTTGTCTTATGAGGCCTTCACCTTCAAGCTTTGTAGCCACAGTTTGTTTACTGTCAGAACATATGTTCTCCAGAGCTGACTTTATCCCAAGGTAATGTAAAAACACTGCTTTAACAGCATCAGCCCTCGCACTCCAGCGAGTTTCTGAAAGGGATTTCACTACAATCCCTTCAGCAGGTAGTGCAGCTTTCAAAGAATCCTATCTATATGTGGAGGCTGGGAAGAAGTTGTATAAGGCTTGCAAAAATCTGGAATATGAAACAGACCCAAGGCAACTGCTGGCAGCTGATGCTCCTACAAGGTTCAAGGAGTGACCTGCACAAGGGACATAATGTGCCAGGGGATTCATAGCCTTTATTCTGGCTTGGAGACCAGTGTAAATGCCTGACATATTGGCAACATTGTCATTACTCTGCCCTCTCATGTCACTCAAATCAAGACCAACATCTTTAATTAACTGTACAACAGTTGAGGCTATGCTCTCTGCACCATGGTCATGTATGTCTATGAACTTTAGAAATCGCTCAACAGGTTTGCCATCAGGTTTGACATAACGAACTATGAATGTAAGTTGGTCAGTATGACTAACATCCGGTGTGGAATCTACACTAACTGAATAATATTTGGCTTGTTTCACTTCACTTATGATAATTGAGTGAATTTCTTCAGCCATCAGATTGACCATTTCCTCTCAAATCGTTTTTGAGAGATATGAAGTCTTTCCACTACCTACAGCACCATACTTCTCCGGATGCTGTGCAAGAAAAGGGCCAAATTTTGCCAGGCGTTCCAGTACTCCAAGGTAATTCCCATTGTTGCTAGAGCCTATTCTTTCATCACTACCTCTGAGAGGAAGACCTCTTGATGTTAAAAATTTTAGTGTTACAACTATGCGCAATAGAACTTCTTTCCAGCATTTTCTCTCCAATTCTACTTGCAAAGCCAAAGTGGAATCAATTCGCCTTGCTGTAATTGCCCTCACACCCCAAGTAGTAACTGAGATATTATGCTCTTTGCTACTTTCATGTTCAGCAACTCTATGCTGACAGTTTTTCCAGTCGCTAAACCCACTGGTAAACAATGAGACTTGCTTGCTGAATAGCTTGCATGGAACACAAAATACATCTCCAGTTTTTGGAGAATACACAAGCCATTCCCTTTTAACTTTTTCATCATTTGCCATTTGACGTGTAAACAAGGATTTGGGCACATATCGAACTCTTTCCTTTTCACCCACATTTTCACTTCTTGCAGATCTTGAGAAGTCACCTTGTTCACAATTTAGATCAAGAGGGTGGTTTAGTAAATATTCAATCAGTTTATCATCAATTGTCAGCCAGTCAGCTGGATCACTTGATACATACAAATCAACACTGACACCATGTTCCACAGAATGTTTCTTATAAGTCAACTGAGATGAATCGGATGAAGCTTCAGTCACAGGTGGTACTTCCATTGCTGTAGGTGCTGATTTACTTAATCTCTGTGACTGACTGTGACTGACTCAGCTGACCTCGCTTCGTCATCTGAATCATGAAAGTGAACATCTACTGTGTCATCCCCTGGGAGTTTACTGTCACTGGTACTTGGCTCTGAATCTCCTATTGGTTTAAAAAATGTTGTCAGCTTTGGAACTGATTGCAGTTGTGCACCTTTGGCTGCTTTTAACTTTCTCTTTTGTGAGCCACTTAGATATTTTTTCAGGGACGACATATTTATCTCATGAGAATCCCCAAGAATAATCAGTAAACAAAAAAATAGTGTAAGTCTATAAGAGATACCAATATCACATAAAATAGACACAAAAACACACGTAAATAACACTGAAGTCCATTTAATGCAACATGTAACATATCATTAGTAAATAATGAGTGCCGCGTACACACTATAAAATATCACTGAGCTGAGGCTAAGAAGATACTGACTGAGCGAGCTGTCACCAACCAACGGTAACCCTGACACGTACTGGACGTGAAACGATCCTGTCCTTCACACGTCAAAGCGCTGAAGGTTTCTTGAACTTTATTCTCTCTCTCTCTCTCTCTCTCTCTCCAGTATATATGTATGTATATATAGATAGATAAATAGATAGATAGATAGATCGATGGTGGCACACGGACATTTAAAAAATGTATATATATATATTTTTTTATCTTATTTTATCTTATTTTCTTCATTTTACTATAGGGCCTAGTCCGTGGCCCACCTGAGAACCACCCCATGGCCCACCAGTTGAAGACCACTGCGGGCCTATACTTATTGTACAGGGGCCGACATACTCCGGGCCCTATACTTATTGTACAGGGGCCCTTATGGTTGTGAATATCTTATATAATGAAATACTCGGTGGTTACTTGAAACAAGGTTATACGCTGGCACGCTGCGCGACAAATTAGTTTCAGTGGGCCCCCAGATACCGGTGGGCCCTAGGCCAATGGCCTACTTGGCCTCTTGGTAAATCCGGCCCTGCCTTCAAGTAAGGTTGATGGAAACGAGGTTGAATGGAGAGATGGCTAAATACAAAGATCTTTAAATCATTATTTTAACTTGCAGATGTGGTAATAATAGAAATAATAATAATAATAATAATAATAATAATAATAATAATAATAATAATAATAATAATAATAATAATAATAATAATAATAATAATATTATACCGTTGTAAGAATTCATAAGGTTTGCTTCCCCCTATAAAGAACGAAACCGTGCAAACTTCTAAAGCTACCGTGTTTCTGGTATAGTAAAAAGCCACTATTTTTTTTTTTTTTACGGTGGGGAGGGAAGGTGGCGAATGGTGGGTAGGGAGAAGGGAGGGTGTTGAACAAAAGTAATAATTGAAAACTTCAGAAAACAATAAAATATTTTGGGAATTACTGTTACTATAGTTTTTCTTCGTAAAGGAAATTTGAGTTTGGGGAATGGAATCTATTGGAGAATCACAAGTTGTCTATGTGAGCGGCACTAACCATCCATGGGTGAGCACCTGGTGGGGGGGTGTGACCGCTCACCACTCTGGCTACGATGGATGTGGTTGGGTTATCATCTACCTCCCTCAAACCACACGTTGACGGCAGCGACTCCGGCAGTGGCCCGTCAGGAGGGACGCTGTCTGTAGTGTCTGTCTGTGGTCGTGTAGAGAGATAGCAACACTGTATTGCTTAACTTTCTAAAGTGTAATAATTTCCTTAAAAGTGACAACATCTTAAAATTAATATTACACGTCCTAAAGTGTGAGACAAGACCTTCCTTAACACAACAGCACTTTAAAATGTAATATCGCACCAAGAGTAAATAATTTTTTTAAATGAACTACATATCTAGAATGTAATAAATTCCTTTGATATAGTAACTACCTAAATTGTAAGAACTTCCTTAAATACAATAATTCCCTAAAATACAACGGATTCCTTAAATCTTAACATCCAAATTATAACAACTTATTCAAATGTAATATCTCACTGAAATTTAAGAAATCCCCAAAATGTAATAATGATATCGAATATATTACCAGCGTTAAGCATATTACTTATCTTGAATAATATAATCCCCTATATGAAAAACACGTACTTGAATATGATAATTCCCTTAAATTAGAAATAGGCTGCTCTTTAACTAGTAAGGCCTTTAAGCGCGTAATAAGTTTTGTAATTATATTAGTACACCAACAGACCGAAGTAATTGGGACGTCGGAACATTGAAGACCGACATCCTCAGTGTGGTCACAGTTGGTCTGGCCCCACGGTAGGTGCTGACAGTCCACGACGGAGGCCTCGTAGCCCAGACACTTCACGTCGTCCAGCCACACCATACCAACTCCTGCCCCGAAGGAATTGTTCTTGTACACGTGAGAGGCCCCAGCCCAGCCCATCATTCGACACAGAACCTGTGAAGGAGGAAGTTATATTTTGTATAGTACACGCCACTTAAAGCCGCACAGACTGGTAACCTCGAAATTCCTAATCGGCAACTATGCTGGGTCTATCCTTCTCCCACCTGCCTAAACATACAAACCAGGCAATTAATCAGTGGTCAATCAAGGTGTAAAGTCAATACTTACCCCCGGGAAACGTTTGAGGGATAAGAAATATTTTTTTGTAATTTCCTTATTTTTTTTTTAAAGTTCAGATTTTTTTCTGGAAATAATTGAATCTTTTGTAAAAAAATGAAATATTTGTGAAAATTAAAAGTTTCAATTTTTTTTTCGAAAATTTCCAAACAATTAAAAAAAAGTAAAAAAAAAAAAAAAGGAAAAGGCCAAAAATCTTCTCCCTCAAAAGATCGATCGCCGAGCCTAGTTCCCGGGAAACGGGCGTTTGAGGAATACGAACTTTGCACAAATTTATTTCCATTTATTTGCAATTTTTTTTCAAATTTTTTTGCAACTTAAATTTGCAACATAGCCTATATTTGCAACATGTATTTTGTTAGTTTATGAGTTATGAGTGAGGTTAGGTAGGTGACGATAGGATAGGTTAGGTTAGGTTAGCTGAATGTAGGTTAGGTTAGGTGAGCTGAAGGTAGGTTAGGTTAGCTTAAGGTAGGTTACGTTAGGTTAATAGTGTAGGAGCTTATATTACCGTTACTGCCTCCAACGCCGTGTGACGCAAAGGGCCTCCACATAACTCGCACCAGCCATTTCGATCATGAGCCCTTTCCATGGTTGTATTCAACTCGTCCTCCGTCTCCTTTCTTATAGTTCGGATCCATGTAGGCCTTGGTCTTCCTCCTCTTCTCGTTCCGTCCACTCTCCACTCGACCGTCTCTCTCAATACTCTATCCGGACGCACACGCAGAACGTGTCCCAGCCACCTCCATCTATTCTTCATCAGCCATTCATCGATATAGGGAACATTTGTGACTTCTCTTAGCGCCTCGTTTCTAATACGATCACGCCATCTTATGTTCAAGATTCTTCTCAATGCCTTATTCCCGAAAGTTCGGAATCTTCTGGATAAAGTGTCATTATCATACCAAGATTCACTTCCGTATACCAAAACGGGTCTTACCAGTGCAGTATATAATCACAGTTTGCCCAGTATACCCATAATTTGATGGCCTCTTCTTATTCTGTCCTGAAACTCATCTTCAAGTGATCCATCGTTTTTGACGAGTGTCCCCAGATACTTGAAAACAGGAACTTCTTCCATAATTTGGTCCTCCTCCTGAATGTTCCCTTCAATTTCTTGATATATTTTCATAATAGTGTTTTTCTAACATTAATCGTTAATCCAGCTCCTTTCCCCTTTTCCTCCAGTCTGCTAACCATAGTTTGCAAATTCTAAATGGATCTGCTCATCAGTACTACATCGTCTGCATAATCCAAGTCTGCGAGGTATTTATTGTCGACCCATTCGATCCCTTCTCTTTTATCACCCACTGTCTCTCTCATTACGAAATCAATAAGTACAGCGAACAGCAATGGAGACAAAACATTACCTTGCAACACCCTACTCTCGACATTGAATTCTGGGAAAAGTTGGCCATCAACGTTCACACGACATCTGCTGCCCTTATGAATTTCTTCTATCAAACGAACGTATTTTCCTGGCATTCCATAGTTCCGTAAGATTTTCCACATAGTAGGTCAATGGACACGATCGAAGGCTCTTTTTAAAAATCGACAACTGCCATTATTAACGGTTTTCTGAATTCCATACTATGCTGTATTATGTGACGCAATGCAAATATATGATGACTACAGCTTCTTGATTTTCTGAACCCTACCTGTTCATCTCTTTGCCTTTGGTCTAAGGATTCTTGAATCCTGTTCAGTACGACCAAACAGAATACATTCTACTGTATACTATTCCGGTTAATGTTATCCCTCTCCAGTTTCCAAACTCTTGTAAATAAATTTTCTTGGGCAGTTTTGTAATGATTTCTTGTTTCCATTCATCCGGGACAACCCCAGTGCTCCATATTTCTTAAAATCACTTTAATAGTACTTGTGGTGCACCATTCGCGTCGGATTTCAGCATTTCTCCAGTTATTCCATCTAGACCTGGTGCCTTCCAGTTCTCCAACTGTTTTAGTGCCCTTTCAATTTCCCTCACCGTAATGACACCCATATTGACATCCAATTGTTCTTCAGGCTGATGTGTAGTAAGAGTATTAGCGCTATGGAAGACTTTATTCATTACCATCCGGAAATGCTCCCCATCGTTACTTTATACGTTCTTCTGATGTTATCAACTCTCCGTTCATAGCACGTACTGGTAGTCTTTTTCTTTTCGTGCCTATACCTGCGATGTCTTTAATTATATCGTATGCTTTACTTACTCCATGTCCATTACCGGAATTAAGTGCCCTGCCTGCTTCTTTTGCCAGATTTTCCAGGAAAAGCCGCTTATCACGTCTTGCACAACGCTTAACTCCGCTCTTAAGACTTCAGTATTTGGCTGTTTCTATTTTAAGAGCATCTTCGTCTCCTTCAGATCTATCAACATACACTTTCTGTGTATGTCTCTTTTATATAATGCTCCAGGTCTCTTCTGAGATCCATTTCTTCCGCTTAATTCCTCTCTTTTTTCCAAAAATTTTCTCAGCTGAGCCCTGATACAACTGTGTGTGTGTTTACCTGTTTGCTTCTCTGTTTTTTTTTATCTAATTTTTCTTCATCTTAGTTTCTCTCTCTCGTCTTCCTTATTCCCTCCTTCAGCACCCCTGGATCCTCTTATGTAATCCTGTAAAAATTTCCTGTTCATTTTTGACACCATACATCATATTAATCATTATAACCTGTAGATTAAGAAAAACTATGGTGTCATTTTTTTCTGAACGGTTTATTATAAATTTTATGCCATCAAAGAAGTTTTATCGAAGAGCAGCGTAATCAACCACAAACGTATTACCATTAAGTCCTAACTTACTTAAAACATGACAAATAACATATGAAAATGTATTATATGATCACAATTTAACATAATATATTATGAATGCTGTTATAATATCGTAAGTGTGTTACAATCATGGCTGCTCATATATTATATGCCATCCTGTCTCTGGCAAAGAAAAGATTGCATTAAGTAAAAATGTTTTAGAACATCCATTTTATATTTATTATTAGTTTATAGTATTATACATCATATGTATACAAGTCACACGTCATTATTTACGAAATTGTTTCAGTCCTCGTCATCAGATTCTTCTGTGTAAAACCAGATTCCTTCACCTTGTTTAGGCATTTCTCATCATCTGCTTGACATTTACACATTTTTTCTGCATGAACACGGCAATAATCCACATTTGCTGACGCCACATCCACACTTAACAAGCTCTGTGATAGCTTCTGGAGCTGATGGCAGGTCTGATATTACTGTTATGAAACAGTCATTTTAAATTTTCCAGCCATGCTCCAATGGTGAAAGTATTTTCACTGTCTGCATCACAAGAGTTGTTGCAGTCGGTGGTAGTTTTTCAGCCTCTGCCTGCGTTTTCTTGAAGGGATGTCATCTAAGTTTTAACAGTTCAGTGAAAGTCATTCGTGGACAGTAGGGCTTACATACACATTCCTCTAGACCAATATACATGTCTGCAGGAGGAGCACTTGGTCTACTCAGCATCTTGAATGCATTTAGGACCTTTGTGTTAGATTTCATCAAAGTGCTCCAAAATGTTTTCTTTCCTTTGCCAGCAAATTTTCCTCTGCAGTCAGATCCTGTGAAAGCATGGAAACCTGGAGGGCTCTCTGCAATGTCTGGCCTAATGGCATCATATCGGCATTTGAAAGAAACAATTTGTCGTTACTCACTAGTTGTAACGGCTGGTTAATTCCAATGTTAACCAGGTTGGTTCACATATATTATATTGGGCTTTAGTAACGAAACCCAATTGAAGTTTCTTATTTTATTAAAAAGTATTATGTATATAATTCCTGAGTGTAGATCAACAGTAAGTTCCACTATTTATGAGTGTGGTGAGAAAGGGACGGCGTCTATGTAAATACAGTAGACGTGAATCAACGTCCGTTCGATATTACGTAGTGAGTGAGACTCTGAGTAGTGACCCATCGAGGGAGAACGGAATAGGTACGTCGTTCTCCCTCGAGGGAAGACGGAGCCATCCACTGCGGCTCTCAAATAACGTCTTCCTCAAGTCAAGATATCAAACTACTGCCAGCTTTGGGTGGCCAGGAGCCGGCTGCTTTATGCCTTTACTCAGCATAGTATGATGCAGCTTCCCGTGGGCACACCTTATCACGTGCATTGAACATGTCACCTCATAGCTAGTGGAAAGTTACAGGGGATGAATCTGAATATAAATCAGATGTAAATAACCCATTTATATAATACTTTCTGTTGATGAGACAGGGGACATTACACAGTTCCTGTTATCATACTTGTATTTTCTCCAAGTTGAGGCTGTTTTAATAGGTCTAGAACAAACACATCAGTGTCTAGTGATATGATATGTACAGTGCTGCCTTTCTGTAATGCGTATATGGCATGAATGATGAGCAGAGCATCTGCTTCCTCGTGAACACCGTTCTATGTTGATAGTATAAATGAGGTTTTGCTTGAGTGGAACAGAAGCAATGCTTTATATCCTAGGTAGGTGGTCAATCATGTTTTGTCTTGTCGTTGCTGAGTAACTTCTTGGGTGAGACTTTAATCTGTGATTTCATAGCTCTATGCATTTGCTTCCTTGCCATAGCGTCGGTTTCTTGTTCTTTGTTTTAGCGAATGACCTACGTCATAACGATCAAAGACAAGGTGCAAAGCATCATAACTTTTGTCCTAGCTCAGGCCTGAGCAACCCAAGGTCTTCGTGAGGCCCGTGGAGTGACTGAGAAATTCTATTTAATGTGGCCCGCGGATCAGGTAGATGCAGCTAGCTTATGGTGGGTAAAGCAATACAGTATTTATTTAAAGAATAATCTTCACACACAGTTCGTTATTGTTTCATCACCTAAGAGTAAGTAACTACGAAAATGTAAGTGTGAAACAAGTATAAATATTAACAATATAAACTTTTTAACTTGTGTGAGTTTCCGGGCTAAGATCAGCGCGGGCTGTTTGATGGATTAGCTGCTATGTGGCAGTGGGTCACTTGGGAATTAACTAAGGATGGGTAAGTCCAATTGGGGTTTCATGCCTGGCTGTCCAGGAAAAATCAACGTATTCACAGGCTGCTTCAATAATCTTCTGTTAAATGCAAAGGAACATTAACATTTTCCTTAAAAATATTATTATGGATTTATTTCCTAAATGGGGAAAAAAATTTGATTGTAAACTGAAAATATTGCAAGGTGGACGTGACGATAAACTGTTTCACCGTCCGTGCTAATGCAATATTAACATTATTTTTAGATTAGGTAGGATATAAATTTTGTTGGGTTAGCCCGAAGAAAAATACCTAAATCGTAATGCAGCCCACGACTGAGGAAAGGTTGTCCATGCCTGCCCGAGCTATGGTTTTGATGAAGTGGTTTGTAAACTCAGCACATTTTTTTGACAGACAAAGTTGACAGTTCGTGAACTAATGCCATGCCATCGATGGTGAGAGTCTTATGACATGGTTCATTTTGTGGATCTGCGACGCTTTGAACAAGGACAGACCTCTTGTAGATTGATTCCATCACGGGATCTTGCGATTATCAGCAGTCTAGCAAACAAAGATCTGCCATTCTTAAGTTCTATAACTTGCGAAAGTAATTTGATGGTTGGAGTATTGTTTGCTGCTTTCTATGACAGAAGATTAACCTTAGACATCTTTTCCCAGATGCTTACTGGACCAACAATGCGTTGCTTAACCAAATTTTCATAACCTCATACTTATGGTCAGTGATTGGGTTATTTATGATTTTGATATTTTATGTAATGAAGTTAATTTAAAAATCCAAATGGTAGTATTTGATCTTTTATCACCTTAGACACTCAGTGCGTCATGCCTCTCGAGCGATTTTTTCCTCGCTTACTTTTCTGGCCAAATATGACCTTATATCCCATCAGAAAAAAGGAAACCATTTGTTTCCTTAATCTACAGGTCCCAAGGTTTAAAATGGTGTTTGGTGTCAAAAATTAACATTAAATTTTTACGGGACCACATATTGCTACATAAGCCCCTACACTATAAGGTAAGTTTTTTTTAGGGTTAGTTAGGTTAAGGTGGGTTTGGATGTTAGGTAAGATTCGGTTAAGTTCGGTCGGGTAGGTTACGTTAGGTTAGGTTAAGTCAACCGAAGGTAGGTTAGGTTAGGTTAAGGTAAGTTAGGATAGGTTGGTTAAGTTAGGTTACCTCTTTGAGGTGACTATACACATACCAACATTTGGTACAGTGGAGTTATTGTACATATGAGTATTCCAACTCACCCCCAGCATCACAGTGTCTGGGGACAACCTCGTGCACAGTATGTCAAGAAAGTACAATATATATTTATAAGCTACGTGGAGGTAGGATGTCCATCTAGAAACCCCAAGGAAAGAAAATAAAACACATTTTAATAAGAAGATGAAGTCCTGTACATACACAGGAACCCAGGAGGTACGATAACACTCTGGACAATGAATATATGTAGAATAATCTTTCATGCGATTTTTTTTTTGAGACAAAACTGTTCAGTCAAAAGTATAAATAGACTCATCATCATTTTAAACCACCGTCCTCGGAAGATTAAACCATTATCCTTAGTGTTAAATTATATCATCGTAAAGGTGTTTATCCATCACCCTTTTAAAACATCGTCTTCAAAATGTTTAAGCATAGCCAGACAAGAGTACTTACGTGTCCCTCCTCTAGAGTGATATCATCATCACAAACCGTGCCCCAGATGCCCAGGTAACGCACCTCTACCCTGCCCTGCCTCTTCTTCAACTCCCCCTCTCCTCTTGCTACTTCTTCCATATCTTTACCATCCACCAAGCGCACTTCCAATGGAGCCTGACAGAAAAAGGCAAAATCAGACAATCAAATAAATTAATTTGACTTACACAATTACCAAAGGAAATACTTATCGAAACATATAACACAGAAAATAGTACTCGAAAGAATTAAAGGAGTAACTTAGTGAAACCTAAAATATCCCTTGGTGTGTCCCCTAGGTCCTACATATCTCAACACAAAGGATCTGGAGGTACCCAAAACACATCTCTGTTCTCGTCAAAGCCTCCATGATAGCTTTCGGCGTCATTTTTTTTTATCTCTTTCAACACAGAAAAACTGAGTATACCTGACACATCCCCCTCTCCTCATCAGACCCGTCGTGACAGTCGTCGACGGTGTCACAAAGGTAGGGCAGCCCGATGCATCGTCCGTTGCTACACTGCCACTGTTCACGACTACACTCGTCTCCAACTTTGTAGCAGCGTACGCCTGCTCCCTACACAACCAAGTAGTCAAGTCATCAGCCAATCACATTTAATCTTTTACTTAAGCAATATATCAAGCATATAATAATTAATAGGATAATCAAATAATTAATTCTTCATTCAAAAAATAATTTATCACCCATTTATTCAATCACTATATCTAGGCATCAAGTAATAGTCACACTCATATGTCCCTCTCTCTCTCTCTCTCTCATTTTTCTTTCGTTTTCCCATTTCTTTCTTTTTTGTGCTCTTTCTTTATATGTCTCTATATCTCACCTCGGAGGCCTGACAATCATGCACTCCCCAGCCACCAAAGTCACACTCAGCCAGCGACGCTTCGTTGCCTTGACAGTTCAGGTCGTCCATCAAGTACTGCCCACGGCTTGACCCAAAGCTGTGGGGATCAAGTGGAGGTCAGAGAAGGCCATGAGGTGGGTTAGAAGTGTCACGAGGAGGTCAGTAAAGTCATGAGGACTGAGGAGGTCAGGAACGTCACGAGGAGGTCAGGAGGGTCATGAGGGGTCAGGACGGTTATGAGGGGTCAGGAAAGTCTTGAAGAGGTCATTGGGGTCATGAGGAAGTTGGAGGAGATTATGAATAGGTCAGGAAAAGTCATGAAAGATCAGGAGAGGCCATAAAATATAGGGTAGGTCAATGGAGGTCCTGAGGGACATGAAGAGGTAAAAGAATTCATGAGGGGTCAGCGAGAGCATGATGAGGCTAAAAGATGCCAGGAAGGTCTTGAAAAGGTCAAGGATTGTTAAAAGATACAGAAAGAGAATGGCTGCAACTCTGAAACCGTGATATGACCACTTTAATAGACTAATTATCAACAAGAGGATGTCTATGTACTCGTACTTACTGAGAGTTAAGCAAGACTTCCCTGGCACCGAGGGAGAAACCCAGCTGCCGACACACCACGTCCCCCTCAAGCTCTCCCCACATGTCGTGACACACACCTCCCCAACGCCTGAATGCTGCAGGAAAGGAAGGTCAGGACAGATCATTCAGGATGAGTTGAGGTCATCCAGGGTTATCCCGAATATAAGATTATTCAGGTTCGTAACAAGTCAGTACACTTAAACACATGTTTTTCACAGTCAACACAGGTCTTTTCCGGTCAATACATGTCTCTTACGGTCAATACATGTCCCTTACGGTCAATACATGTCTCACGGTCAATACCTGTCCCTTACGGTCAATACCTGTCCCTTACGGTCAATACATGTCCCTTACGATCAATACATGTCTCACGGTCAATACCTGTCCCTTACGGTCAATACATGTCTCTTACGATCAATACATGTATCTTACGATCAATACATGTCTCACGGTCAATACCTGTCCCTTACGGTCAATACCTGTCCCTTACGGTCAATACATGTCCCTTACGATCAATACATGTATCTTACGATCAATACATGTCTCTTACGATCAATACATGTATCTTACGATCAATACATGTCTCTCACGATCAACACATGTCTCTCGCAGTCAACACATGTCTCTCGCAGTCAACACATGTCTCTTACGATCAATACCTGTCTCTTACGATCAATATATGTATCTTACGAACAATACATGTCTCTTACGGTCAATACATGTCTCTCACGATCAATACATGTTTCTTACGGTCAATACATGTCTCTCACGATCAACACATGTATCTTGCGATCAATACATGTCTCTTACGGTCAATACATGAATCTTATGATCAATACCTGTCTCTTACGGTCAATACATGTATCTTACGATCAATACATGTCTCACGGTCAATACATGTCTCTTACGGTCAATACATGTCTCTTACGGTCAATACATGTCTCTCACGATCAACACATGTCTCTTACGATCAATACATGTCTCACGGTCAATACCTGTCTCTTACGGTCAATACATGTCTCTTACGGTTAATACATGTCTCTCACGATCAACACATGTCTCTCGCGGTCAACACATGTCTCTTACGATCAATACATGTATCTTATGATCAATACCTGTCTCTTACGATCAATACATGTATCTTACGATCAATACATGTCTCTTACGATCAATACATGTCTCACGGTCAATACATGTCTCTTACGGTCAATACATGTCTCTTACGGTCAATACATGTCTCTTACGGTCAATACATGTATCTTATGATCAATACCTGTCTCTTACGATCAATACATGTATCTTACGATCAATACATGTCTCTTACGATCAATACATGTCTCACGGTCAATACATGTCTCTTACGGTCAATACATGTCTCTCGCGGTCAACACATGTCTCTTACGGTCAATACATGTCTCTCACGATCAACACACGTCTCTCGCGGTCAACACATGTCTCTTACGGCCAATACACGTCTCTCATGGTCAACACATATCTCCCAAGGTTCACCCAAGGTCTCCATGGGTTAACCTCTGACCTTACCTTTGACCTCGACGCGGCCCTCATGCACGTCAGACCCATTGGCCAGCCTAACCTCGAAGTTGACCTTGTCCTCACAATCCATTTCGTCTTCTCCTTTCTTACAGTCCCGTCGGCCATCACAATTCTGACGTGAGTCAATTATAGGGTTAAGAAAATGGAATCAATAAATGAGATCAAGTGGAGTGACACATGGAAAGTTAAAAAGAGGAGTCGAGGTCGATATTATGGGCCAAGAAAAGGGGCAAAGAAGTGATATGTTGGTGACTGTTGAGAGAAGCGTAAGTACCAAAAACATCACATTAGAGAATCACACAAATGAACAACGCCTTCAAGGTCAAACATGTATTGGTGTTCACAGAAAGATGCGTTTTATTTTATTGTTGTCTAAATTTTTATTATTTTTTTAATATTACAATGTTGCGCAACTGATCTTTCCCCTTCTATATACTTAACAAAAAAAAATCCACCAAAATCTTTTCTCACTTATTTTGAGGGAAGACGCCCAAGTATGTTATTACTAACTCATAATTATATAATTTCGAAAAAATATTCCTAAGTAGTTAGAGTCCACTAGTAGTGAGGCAGCTAAATGCAATTTTTTAAGAGAATCATGCAAATGGCGATACAAGTCCGCCTGATTGGCCATTTTTCAAGATGGCCGCCATATTGACCTTCACAAGTTGATTTTTCTTATAGAAATTGATGTAGTTGGTCAATCTGAGTGATCTTGGTGTCGATATGTATGTTTTCAAGCATGCTCAGGTGATTTTGTTATAGTTTTTAGTCCAGTGTAACATTTTTTCCACATAAAATAACAATTTTAGTAAAAAAAATAAAAAAAAAAGATCTTACTAAAAAAAAAAGTACTCCCTATTAGCACTGGTTCCTGTGAGTTCTCCTGACAGTACATCTTTGTGCATTTACTGCTGTTCACATATGCAGCTGCAAAGTGCTGTGCAGGAAAGTCCAGAGCGAAAGTATTTGCATCTCTGGTTGCAGTCTTTCTTACAGGAACATTTGGTCAGCTCCTGACAGCATGTCGCAATCGGGGGAAGAGTCGTCCAACGTATCTGCCATGCCTCTCCCTTCTGAGTCCATCCCCAGTTGACAGGACTGCTGGTTTCTGGATTGCCTGGCCCCAGATGATACCAGCCTGGTAGGCAGCCCGCTTTGCATGTCCCTTAAGGGCTGCCTGGGTTGGTGGAATGGAGTCATATGGTCTCTGCTTGCGGGAAAAGAGATTTAGTCTTGCCTCATCTACACCAGTGGCTGCACTAGATCTGTCGTACATGAGGACAACAAATCTTTCCAGTTTCTGCAGGTCAACATCAGCAACTGTTGTTGGACATTGGCTGAGTTTGGTGAATGTTTCTGAAACTTCATTACAGACATTCCATGTCTGCCATGCAGATTTCTTTCCTTTCCCACGGAAGCCAGACACAACATCACAGCTAGTGAAAGCATGAAAGTATAGGATCCCACTCGCTTTCTTAGGCCCTATCGCAGAAACTACATCATGAACTGGAATCCATCGATGACTGGCTCCTTGGCCAGAGGCAATCCGCATGTTATCAAGACCAAGCTCCTGTAGTGATGGCAGTACAGGTACTGCTATGACGACCACGCCAGTGTCATTGGCTTTGATGATGAGGGACTTGCTACCTTCCATTGCTGCATCCCTAGCATGCACAAATATTCGTGTGTCTGCTTCCTCATGACAGCATGGAGCCACAGCTTCTAGGGACTTCTCTGTGTTGCTAATGGCATCTTCTCCCTTTGTCACAACCACCGTGTTTGTCGTCTGTGCTTCACACATTTTCTCCGCGAGAAAATGGAATAGTTCTGTCTTGTTTTTGTCATCTCGCAGAAAGCTTCTCCAGTTTTTGAGAGTTTTACTGGTTCCTGTAACTCTTCTCCTGATCCCCTGTCCTCGTTTCGACTTGGCTTCAGACTTCAGACTTGACTTTTTGTACACATCAAACACTACATCCACCCTATTGTATTTGGCACCATAGAATTCCACTTTGGGCAGGATGTCTTTTCTGGCATAGGCATCAAAAGTCTTTGAGGTGCGTGGAGGCAGGGCATTTATCAGCGCTGAGTCATCTATGATGATAGCATCTCCATGTGGTTCTCTCTCTGTAGCATTCACTTGTGCTTGAAGAATTTCAGCCAGCTGTGACTTCTGACATGTATGAAGCTTGCCAGTGTTACTGAGGGAGGCAGGAGCTGACTGGTTCTCATGCTTGAAGAATTCTTGCAAGTCATACTGTCTGTTTTGATTGGAGATGAAGAGTCGCGAGAACAGCTGACAGTCATCTTTCAGTACATTCTCTTTGGAACTGCTAACAACGTGGTCATGTTTGAAGAAGGAGGATCTGTTTTTCTTGATTGGATGGTAGAACAGACATTTACCTTCATTCTTTAGTCCTTCTAAGAATGACTGGAATTGCTCTTTTCCTCTGTCATGGTGTGTACCAACCATATTAGCAATATCTGGATCTACAATGTTCTTTGTGTCTAACACCAGAAGGTCAGATGACTCTTCTTGGAAAGGGTTGCCCATCTCCCGCAGCACCTTGAAATGTGCTTCCACCTTCTCAAAGAAAGATTTCTGTGCACTCAGGGTCTGCTCATGATGTCGGCTGCTGGTGGTGGTTCCATCTTTTGCACCTGACGCAGCTTCATATCCAGCAACAAGACGACTCACTTCAGGTCCAGCCACCATCCACCTACGAAGTGCTGCTGGGTCCAGTGCCGGATTAACCATAAGGCACTTGAGGCACTGACCTCAGGCCCCCCGACTCTAAGGGGCCCCCAAATCCAAACATTCTCCAAGTTGAAGCGTATAAAACATGAACTTCGTTCAACGATGTCCTAGCAAAGTCTCAATTTTCTGTCTCTTATGAACATTAAATGTGTTATTTTGCAGAAGCTTAATATTGATGAAATCATTGATAAATTTGGGTATATTTTGTTCTTGCTATTTATATATACCTTGAGGGTAGGGGGCCCCAAGTTGATCTGTGCCTCAGGCCCCTATTAAGCTTAATCCGGCCCTGGCTGGGTCCTCAGTCAACCCAATTGCTCCTCCATCGCCTTTAATCATTGCATTGTTTTGTTTATGGGCTTGATCAATAGCAATAGCAGAGAACTCTCTTCCTGACTTGTGGACAACAAAGTTCCCCTTGTAGAACTCCCTCGCTACCTCTGGATGTTGTTGCTCAAGGCACATCATGTCTCGAAGGTGAATTGGAAGCCATCGGGCATTCGCAAAAAAATAGGGGATCAGCTCTGAGAGTGCTTCAAGGTAGAGTTTGAAATTGCCTTCCCTGAATGAGCGGATCAACATGAAGATGGTGAGCTCCATGTCCAACACAAGGTTCCAGAATTGGAACTGTGAACTCTCAAGCCTTCGTTGTTTACACCAGTCTTCAAAGCTCAAAGTTGACTTTTCTGACTCATCAGAGCAATAGTCCTGGTATGCCTCCTTCATCAGTTTGTACAAGCTGCATGCTGTAACTTGATGTGCTAGTCTTGTCTTAGTTACACTTGATTCGGACAGAAAAGACTCTGCTGTACCAGATGAAGCCACTCCTGCTTCAACAAGGGAACCGGTCCAACCACTGTCTTGTAGTAGCGTCCCTAGTGATCTCAGTGCAGCCGTCTCTATGTGAAGTCCCCCGAACATATTAACATACCTGTCTTCTCCATACTCAGGCCACTGCCATTGGATTTGTTTTGCCAGGGCATACAGTGGCTGGTCAGCAGCTATGACCTGGGTTCAGAAAAGCCACTGTATCACGAACCTTTTCCATGATATGCTTGATGGTTGTCACAGTGTGTGTTTGATCTCGAAGCAGGGGAAGCAGAGACGCATGCTCACTTCAAATGGCTGACTCCTCTTCTGTGCTGTATGGTGAGCTACCCACGTGATGCAGACTTCATCAGCCACATCCTCAGTGAGCAAGACCTCTTCCAGCCAAGCATACTCTTCCTGCACGTGTGACTGGATTGACTCAGGTGCTGGCAATGACTGAGGTGCTACCAAGGGAGGATTGGGATTCTTCATAATATAAGCTGGTCGGACATTGGTGAATGCCTCTGGAAGCTCAGGAACTTTTTTTACCATCGTATCTGCATTCCATGTGAGTGGCTCACGCTCCTCACCAGCCTGCTCAGGGCTTGGATGTTGGAAGATGGACACACTGGTCCCATGGAAGGACGTTTTGGCCGTAGTCGCAGTGGGGTTGTGGTCAATGTTATCCACTGCTGAAGTCGTGAACAACTGCTTCCTCAAGATTGGTGGACACACCATTCCATCTTCCACGAACTGGCATACAACTGCTTTTCCTAGCTGGGCTGATAATTGTAGAACTCTGTCATATGAAATGCTGACCCCATTTTCATGCAGCATGTCGATGAGCTGCCTCTTTCTTGTCTTCGCAAACACAGACATGCCGACGTAGATAGCAACAGGTGTCTCATGGTCCTTGGAGTGTCTGTGGATTTGTGTTCCTACCTTGTAGTTGGCAAAGCAGTTGTACTGTAAGAGCTGTGATATAGCAAGGTCAGACTTCGATGCGCCATGCTGGAGTTGGGATTTGATATCTGCACCATGTTCGATCATGCATACAAATTGAAGCAGTGATGGTGGAACAGCCTGTTCAATGCATCCTTCATGAAATGTACTGCTGAAGTGTGACTTGTGCTGAAGCATGTCCCGTCGTATCATCCCAGCAGCCTTGGCCAGATGGATCGCGTCACCGTATTGTCTTGCTTGTGCCAGGATTGAGCCAACATCCTTCTCAAAGGCCAGTAGGATATCTCTTCCTTGGTGATGAGCTTGCAGCTGGGGGATGTGAAAAAGCAGCTGGTCCTTCAGTCGAGTAGCATGAACATCGGGCGATCCAACACACAGCTCCTCAAGTCTCTGTCTGTAGAGTGTGACCAGGTCAACAAGTCTGAAAATGGGTGGTTCAGTACCTTCACTAGAAGCTTTCATCTGAGTGATGTAAGTGACCAGTTCAGAGAAAGCAGTTGGGTATGCGTCCTTGTTCGGATGAAGCTCTTGTGCTTCTTCTTGCTCATGAGCATTTCGGTGTGTTCTTTCTCGGTTGTACAGGTCTGCCAGGCAGCGAGGGTGATACTTTAGTTCTTGTGCCACAACATCTCCTGCACTTAGTTTGGCAAAGAGTTTTCCATCGCCAAGTGTCTTCGCACAGTCATTCAATCTTTTAAGTTTAATTGACATTGCATGTCTTATGTCATCTCCCGAAGCTTCTTCCTCACATAGAAAGCATTCTGTTGCTTTGGTAACTAATTTTTCGACGAAAATATACTTTTCTCTCAGAACAGAAATTTAAGGGGTTTAACTAATTAAGTACTTCCAGAATATCACATTAACACCATAAGTGCAGTTTGGAAACCCACAATTGGCGAGTTATTAGTATTGAAAAATATCATTAAATTTTCCAAGTATTATTACAACCACTAATTTCCCCGCACTCGAATCGTGGACCATATATTAGAAATTAGCATACTGAGGAGTACCTATAATGTGATTTTCAACGAAATTAAATTTTGGGTCCAAACTGTCGAAAACATAAGCGTTATGCCTTACTAATTTTCTGACCAAAATATACTTTTCTCTCTGAACTGAAATTTAAGGAGTTTAACTAATTAAGTACTGTCAGAATAACGCATTAACCCCCAAATCGCACCTCAGAAATCCATAGTTAGTGAGTAATAAGCACTGAAAAATGTCATTAAAATTTCCAAGAATCATTACAACCACTAATTACCCCGCAATCGAATCGTAGGTAATACATTCGAAATCAGAATGCTCAGACATACTCTTAATGTGATTTTCAACGAGATCTAATTTTTGGCCAGGATTTGCAGTGGAGGCTTAAGATCTTCCTTCTTATCCTGTTGACAAAGACAACACTTTGCCCAGTCAGTGAGGAATGATTTGTTGGTAGATTTTGTGTCCATAACTATTTTTGATCTTCAGGGCCGAGGGTTTATTCTTTTACCACCCTGATGAGCACTTTCTTGTATGGGATACAACTAGGTTCATGCCTTTTGCCCTACACCTAGTCCGATCGTTCATCCAGTGTCATTAGTCCCGTGCCATCTGTACACCATCCAGATAACTAAAACCCCGTTATCCTTGGCTCGGCTCTCCCGCGCTGGCACATCCTGTCAATTCAGGTGCGGCTGCTTAACTGATTTAGGGTTGGTTAAGCAGCATTTGGGACACTAAGCTGTTGCAGTATGACATGCTTTTTTTTAGCTGACACTGAACCCCATGCTGGGTTGCACAGCAGTGATGTCACCAGTGTGCCCTGGTAGTGCCTGACAATCACTCCCTCACATGCAGAGACCCTCTGCATGCTACCCTCACCTAGTTGGAAAAAACATAAAACCAGTACATAAAACCAGTCATAAATAAGACAAATATATATCTGAGAGTATCAGAAATAGAAAAAAAAATCATCTGAGCATGCTCGAAAACATACATATCGACACTAAGATCATTTAGATTGACCAACTACATCAATTTCTATAAAAAAAAAAATCATGTTTCGAAGGTCAATTTGGCAGCCATCTTGAAAAAATGGCCGCCATCTTGGATTTCCAAATGGCCAATCAGGCAGATTTGACAAGTAGTCCCTAGGGTATGATCATGCCATATTTCATGCTTGTATCACCATTTGCACGATTTTTCCATTATCCACTATACTATAGTTATTATATTTAATTTTATCATTATTTACAGCAATTGTTATCTCCTTAATCCTCCCTTTGTAAAACTGGCAACAACATATAAGAATTACTCTGCAGAATACAAGAACATGGTAGGCTATATCTCACCTGGGCTGCATCGATGCACTTCCCGTCCCCACACACGAACATGTTGCTACAGTTCACCACTAGTTTCCGCATCTCATGGTACTCCCAGCCTCCTGAAGACACTAAACCCCCAGACAACCCCACGTTGCCTTTGCTCAGGATGCACGTCTCAGAGGCCTGTCTGTGGAAGGGATGAAGTATGATTCTAACCCGATGTCATTTTCTGGAGAAGCGTGACGTTATAGAGAAAAAAGAAACACGTCAATGATGCACCTTTCGTCGAGATCTCTGATGTAACAAGTTCTATCCCTCTACAATGGTTAACGCGAAAAATATTATATTTTAACTTTAGATGACCAGGACCTTGACATTTAACACTGTCCTCCTCCCAAAAAGTTCATTGCTTTCAGTTCACTAAATATAGTTCACCCAAGCTTTTGTCAGATTTGGTGTAGATATGGCTGGGACATGTTTCATGATATTATTAGTGATGGTGTAGAAACACGGACTGACACACATACTATAGATAGAGACAGGGTCATTCTAATACCTCGCACACCTCTTTGGGGACGAGGTAATAAGGGTGAACATAAGATCTCTTTTTATGGATCTCCTATTAGCAAATAAGAAAAGAATCAATGACTGACTTCGGTTTAGCGAGAAGAGAGGTGCTTACAAAGGACTCCACAATTCCCATTTCATTAAGATCTACCCTGTGCTACTTCGTCTCCCTCAACTTACTCATAATTGAAGGACATACATATGAAGTTCTTGGCCTGTACACATCGGGCAGCACAGGCAACCCTGAGGGTGTAGAGCCACTTCTCCACCTCCTCCCCCACCAGCCGATGGTTCGCAAGCTTGGTGAACTCCTCACTGTAATCCTGGCACTCCTGCTCATCGCTATTGTCGTTACAGTCCTGATAATACAATAAAAGTCAGTAAAATATAATGCAAAACAATATTTTGGATCACAACTGAATACTCATTAATATATATTCAATACATCCGTAATGAAATATGGCAGCTGGAATCCCTTACAGAGCATTAACAGAAAAAATAACAAATGGAAAATTAATGCTACAGCCTCACACTAGCAACTAAAACATAGAAATATTCACAGGTACAATGGGCCTCAAAACAGCCCTGCAAAAAAACGATCAAGAACAATGGAGGGATCCTACGCAGGTCACTTTTATTCTCCACGGCAAGGGCACCCCTAGTTGTAGTGAATATATTAAGTAACTAATGCAAATATAACACGGAATGAATGCTATGATTTTTATACGATGCAAAACCTAGTGACGAATAGATGCAAAATTTCTACACAAGTGATAAAAAGCTAAGTATTTGCGGGAAATAGTGGAATACGTCGAAAAAAGCGACTCGCACTACATAAAACTATGCATATATAAGGTAGTAGGTAGTAGCCAGCTATCAAACAGGGAGGTACTACCGCCTGGGAAGATATTGGAAGCATAATGTGTTGTCTAATGGTAGACCCTGCTGCCATATGGCATCACAAAAAATGTGACAAAGTGCCAGGTTGCTCATCTGACTTTCTGACTCATTTAGTTACAATTGCAGGATCTCAATTGTTTCTCTTACTTTGACAACACAACATACAGTATATATATATATATATATATATATATATATATATATATATATATATATATATATATATATATATATATATATATATATATATATATATATATATTTATATATATATATATATATCATTTCTCACTCTTCATATTTGATTTAATTTTTGTATTTATTTATGGCTCTTTATAAATACTATTATTGTTATTGTTATTTTTATTTTTATTATTTTTATTAAGTTTTATTAATTTTATTATTATTATTATTATTATTATTATTATTATTATTATTATTATTATTATTATTATTATTATTATTATTATTATTATTATTATTATTATTATTATTATTATTATTATTATTATTATTATTGTAGTTTATATTAAGTTTTATTAATTGTATTATTATTATTATTATTATTATTATTGTTATTATTATTATTAGTAGTAGTAGTAGTAGTAAGAGGCCTGGGTGGCGTGGGTGTGTTGGGGTGCCTTCCCTGATTGAAAGTGTTATTGGTGGGGATATACTCAGTTTGTGAGAGCGAGAATTTCGCAGTGTGTTGATGAATGTTGGATGTCACCTTGAGCATCGTCCCCAACGGCTCTTCTCATCCCTTACGGCATTAAACGCAAATATTGCGTGTGTTCACCGGCGATCTTCAAGTAAGCCTGTGAGTGTTTGAATGGTCAGTGACTGGAGTTGCCAAGTGTCAGCGCCAGTGTGTCGATAGGCCTACTTTAGCAGGAGTGGCATCGCGACTCTTGCCCCTATGGGGCCAAGTGCCTTGCGCGCGCTTGCGGTCGCCCCCCCCCCCGCCTCCCCACCTCAAGTAACGGCCACTTTATGTAGTGTCGGCTGACCAAGTGAGAATATATAACTAATATTACATCAGTGAGACCATAGATATAGTGGTTATCTCTGCCAAGGTTACATAAACAATTGTTAGGTGTGATAATCCTTGCTCCCAGTGGATTATTCGGATGTGTGGATTGTCGCCCACATGGGGGTGCCCTACACAACTACGCGCACGCATATGCCCCTACTACTCGGACACCGCAGGCCAGGCCGTCACCTCTATGCCCCATACTCATAAGATCTAGTTTCTTCGTCCGTATGGGCCCAATAGCAGAGGTCGGAGGCGGAAGTATCTGTCGCCCAAGGTGCTGTTCAGTGTTCACTATGCCTGGTAACATTCATTGCTACGTCTGTGCTAACCCGAACCAAAACTGCACAAATTGTGTTTGTGCGAGAAAAATCCGACCATGTGTGGATTGTAAGAAGCAAGACCAGTGTCGGAACCCACGTCGCAGGGAGCCGACACAGGTGGCCACAGTGGATATCGCCGGGACCCAACCACCCGATGATATCCGAAATGATAGCAGTGAGTCTACTCAACCCGAAAATGTAGTACTAATAAATGCTGCTCCCTTAGTAGCAGATGTCCACGAGGAGAATGAGAGACAACCACCTCAGTGGAATGGCATGTCGATGGAAAATGCAGACATATGGGTCAAAGAAACCTATTCAGAAATTGTCAAGTGGTCGCCCGCTAACTTATTTGAACCACCCAAGAGTGCGGCCACCAAAGAAATGATTCGGGAGATGACTCGCCTCATGACTGATTACACTCAGGACCGCTTCCTCGCCCCTTTAGCTCTTCAAATACTGGCAATAATACCACATCTATTTTGTCAGAGGACACACACAAAGACTAAGCACAAAGATAATGTGGCAGCAATGAAGAGAAGATTGGCAATGTGGCAGACTGGGGCCCTTGATGATCTCCTATGTGAAGCAAGAACACTGCAGGAGAGACTAAAAATTACAGGTGACGGAAAGCAAAACACCGATGACGTGGCAAGAAAATTTGGAAACAAAATGCGTGTGGGAAAAGTGTCTCTTGCGGTAAGATCTCTCACAGAGGAATCCTCCGGTGGGGTGATGCCAATAAACAGAGAGACATTAAAACTACTGAAAGAGAAACATCCCCCTGCAAGCGACGAAGAAGGCATCAGGTTCGAGGGTGTCTATACCCCACCAAACGCTGTCCTGTTCGAGAAAATAACAGGAGAGATGGTGTGGAAAAAGGCACTGAAGACTCGAGGAGGAGCCGGCCCTTCAGGTCTAGATACAAACGGTTGGAGAGTCATCCTCAGCCCAAACAAGTTTGGCCCTGTAGCAAGCGATCTCTGCACTGCCATTGCCGCCCTTGCAAGAAAGCTTGCATCCTCTTGCTGCCATCACCTCCAGGCCCTGACGGCCTGCCGCCTTATTCCTCTGGAAAAGAAACCAGGATGTAGACCTATAGGGGTGGGGGAAGTGCTGAGGCGGATCATCGGAAAATGCATAATGGAGGTGGTAAAGGATGATGTCTGGGCAGCAGCAGGGAACCTACAAGTGTGTGCTGGCCACCAGGCTGGCGGGGAGGCCGCCATTCACGCCATGAGATTGATATTTGAGCAGTGTGATTGTGAGGCCGTTCTCCTGGTGGATGCTTCAAACGCATTCAACATACTTAACCGCAAGGCTGCGCTGCACAACATCAAGATCAAGTGTCCAAGCTTTGCAATGTATGTTGACAATTCGTATAGGAATCCATCAGACCTCTATATAGTAAACAACAAGGCTCTAAGAGGTGATACCATCTTACAGTCAACCGAGGGAACAACACAGGGGAACCCTGTTGCAATGGCAATGTATGCAATTGGCCTATCAGTGCTCCAACAAGAAATAAAATTTGAAACAACTGGGGTCAAACAAGTGACATATGCTGATGACCTTACAGGAGCAGGAAAAGTGGAGGGCATCAAAAAGTGGTGGGACTTGGAAACATCGCGAGGTCCACAAATAGGGAACCATCCAAACGCCAGCAAGTCCTTCCTCATCGTGAAGCCAGAACATTATGAACGGGCAATGGAGGTTTTTGGCGGAAGGGAGGTCAAAATAACTAAGGACGGCCAAAGACATCTAGGCGCAGTAATTGGCACTGCGGACTTTAAGACCGAGTATGTAGCGGGAAAGGTGAATGAGTGGGTTAGTGAAATCCAAGCTCTGTCTGAGATTGCTATCACAGAGCCACATGCGGCCTTTGCTGCATTCACCCATGGAGTCAAGCATCGTTGGAACTACCTGATGCATACTATCCCTGATATCGGACCCCTCCTCCACCCTCTGGAAGAAGTTATCAGTGTCAATTTCATTCCTAAATTAAAGAAACACCCTGACTTAACCCCAGCAGAAAGAGCACTTCTTGCACTTCCATCAAGACTGGGAGGGATGGGACTAACAAATCCAGAGGAGATTGCTGCCACTGAACATCAAAATTCACTTAAGCTCACGGCAGCCCTCACGGACCACATAATAGCCCAAAATGCAACAGGGGAAGTGGATACCAGTGAGGTAAACAAGATTCGTAGATCCATTACGACAGATCGACAGCACTGCCAAAATGATAAGTTGCAGCAACTGTTGCTGCAGGTAACAGAAAATTTGAAAAAAAGTAGCTATAGCGCAGGAGGTGGGCGCCTCGAACTGGTTAACTACGTTACCGATAAGGGCAAATGGTTTCAGTCTTAATAAACAAGAATTTACAGATGCCATTGCTCTAATGTACGGTCGGCCAGTAGAAGGTTTGCCCTCCCAATGCGTGTGTGGCTTTTCCTATGATGGCGATCACGCCATGGTGTGCAAGAAAGGGGGCTTCATATGCATGAGGCATGGCGAGGTAAGGGACCTCACAGCAAATATGTTGAAGGAAATCTGCCGGGATGTCATGGTAGAACCGACCCTCCTTCCATTGGATGGTGAGATCTTCCAACACAGGACTTCAAACACATCTAACGAAGCCCGTGTGGACGTCAGTGCTCGAGGATTCTGGACGCGGGACAGCGAGCTTTCTTCGACATCAGGATTTTTGATCCCATGGCCGCATGTCACCGTAACCTAGCTCTCGATGCTGCACATAGGAGGAACGAGAACGACAAGAGAAGGGCATATGGGGAGAGAATTCAAAACGTTGATCAAGGCAGCTTCACTCCTCTAGTGTTCACAACCTCTGGTGGGATGGGACCAAGTGCAAGATGTTTCTACGCCAGACTCGCGGAGTTGATCTCCGAACAGAAGCAGCAGCCCAGAAGTTATGTTACAGCCTGGATGAGATGTCGACTGTCTTTCTCTCTCCTTCGGTCGGCTTTGCTCTGCCTCAGGGGAACGAGAGCTTCTGCCCCAACTCCGACAACTGCTGCAGATATTGACTATGAGGCTACTGTCACTGAATGCCGCATAGATCTGCGGCTCAACTAATTTAACACAGATAGGATAGCTACTTATGTATTAGGATATTTAATATTAAGGTAATTAAATGGTGGCGAAGGTGTGGCTATTGGGGGAGGCTGGAGGCTTAAAAAAAAAAAAAAAAAAAAAAGTAGTAGTAGTAGTAGTAATAGTAGAAGTATTTATTAAATTTTCACCTACCAGGCCTTGATGTGGGTCATAAAATGACCTGTGCCCGGGTGGGCTAATGCCCGTAAAAAACAAATAAATAAATAAATAATTAAATAAATAAATAAATAAATAAATACGGTACGATATTTGTGCTGTAATGGCAACATCAAGCAATAGAAGAGGAAGATGATTATTGCACATTTATGTTTTAAGCATGATCTGAGGCATATTTTTCACTGGGTATCATCCAAAGTTTAATGCAAATAATGTTAGTAGGTCTAATACATTAAATTCTACTTAACTCTTTAGAGCTGAATAAAATCGTCTGGCTGCTGTCCTCTAAAGGGTAGACAAAAACTAATAGTTTAATCATTCAAAATCAAACCTACCCAGGGGCAGACTGTCCTATTAATAAGTACATTGGCGTTAAGAGTTAAGAAATTATAGAGAAAAAATTGGATAAATATGAAATAGACTTGACGTTCGACAATAGTGGGTGCTGTCTCCAACATTAAAAAATATTTAGTCAGCATACAGTACTCGTACATAATGAAAGAAGTTGTATATAGTGATGAAGGAGTAAACGTAATACTAAATATTCAACATACAGATGATACTACTCTTATTGCATATTGTAAAGAGGCATAACATGAACTACTTAACCGAATAATGGATTAAGACAAGAATACTATCTGAGAATTATTGCTGCCAAGAAAGAAATATTTGTTGTTTCTGAAAAAAAAAACTATCCTACTACACAGTATTAATTATGGGATTTGGAAAGTAAAAATAGGTAAAGACAACACTAAAATAATTCAGTTAAAAGGGAAAAACAATTTAGTTTGAGGAAAAAAGGTGCTGAAATGATATGTATGGTCAGTGTTGTTGTATAGGTCAGAAATGTGGAGACTTTTAGCAGACAACAGGAGGTTAAGAGACCTTTGAAATGTGTTGCTACAGATGGATGCTAAAGCTAAATCATACGGATAGAAAAAAAAATTATGCAAAAGTACACTAAGATTGTCTAGACTCTAGAGTAATGCGAAAAACAATAGGAATTTATAGAGTAAGAAACGTAAGTTACTTTGGCTATATAATTAATATTGGGTAAATAATGATAGAAATATTAATATACATGATTAAAGGTCAGTAAGCCAGGGTCAGGCAGAGACAGCGAGCGATATTGTATATGGATAAGATTACACTCTGGGTTCCTGGAGTTTTACATTATCTAGGAGGATTAATGAAGACAACTTGTAAAAACAAGTTTGAAGTACAGGAAACTAGTCACTCGGCAACCTTAATTCATGAGAACATCACCTTGATTAATCGGGATAGAGAACAAGTCATAACGTTACCAAATAAACACCAAAAAACACCACCAGTTTCAGGTATTGCATTGTGATTCAGTAGTTCTTGCCAAATTTTCTTTTTCTTCGTCTCTCCTACGCAACAAACCGGTCCTGACTTGACCAAACCAGAAAGAGTAAACGGTGGTCTTTTTTTTTTCGTGTTCAGTTGTTTTCCGGCGTAAACTGGATCGATTTAACTTGGGTTAAAGAATCTGTTGGGGAGGATAATTTGCTCCTCTTTTGCTGTCTTTGTATTTTTGTTTGTTCATCCGTCAGTCTAACGCTTTGTTTGTTCCTCCTTATCTCTCGGTATGTTAGTTTCTTTCTGTATATCTGTCAGTGTTTCTGTATTTGTCTCTTTCCTTGTATGTCTGTCTGTCTGTCTCTCTTCCCCTCCTGCAGTGATCCTCAGTACTCCTGGCAACACTATTAAACACTCGGACATTCCATCCACTCATTTTGCTGAGACTGACCTTAGCTCGACCTGGCCCAAGGCTCGATGGGCTGTGTGTGTGTGTGTATTATCCATGAACAACTACGCTGGACTGGCCAAGTTACCCGCATGGACGACAGTAGATGCCAAGCAGCTACCTTACAGCCAACTAACGAATAGTAAACGTAACGCCGGCGGGCAATTGAAAAGGTATAAGGATAGTCTCAAGACAAACCTGAAAAAGTGCCAAATCGACCCCCTCACATGAGAGTCGATTAATCTACATCGGGGGGCGCTTGTGGTAGAAGCGGTACCGCTCTTGCCTCGCAAGCAAGATGTCACGGGTTCGATTCCGGGCAAGCGGAAGTTGTTTGGACACTCTTCCTAGCCCCCTTGGTCCCTGTTCACCTAGCAGTAAAGTAGGTACCTGTTGTAAATCGAAAGGTTGCGAATTCGTATTCAAGGAAAGTTGTTGGAGCTTCTAAACTTGGAAAACTCTACATCGTAACGCGTGGAGCAGCACCACACGAGAAGATGTCAATACTTTCGACTTTCGAGTTAGCCCGATTGTAAACCGAGGGAGACAAGCGCCAACGCCGGAAAGACTCTGCCACCGCCCCTCCCGCACTAGTTGCAGCCCTCCACAGGTGCAAAGAATGTGGACGACCCTGCGGGTCCCGTATCGGCCTCTTTACTGTAATCACCTCAAAACTCGCCAAACTAGGTGAAATCCCTTATAACTCATATCATTGTATCATAGCTGGATGATCGTCATACTCGATTCCGAGTGACAGCAAAGTAGTAGTAGTAGTAGTAGTGTGTGTGTGTCGAAAGTTTTTTTTTGTTTGTAGGAGGAAAAACTGGTACAGGAACAGCATCCAGTCAAAACCAAACCTTGTGAACTTACACACCAGCAAATCAGCGTGCCAGAGAGGTTTGTGGTCGGGCCATGAATGATGAATCCTAAGCCAGTTTTTGTCAGGGGTAATGTTGTGGTGCTGAGGCGGTGGTGGTTGTGCTTACATCACCTTGAACTTAAGGTGGGTTGGGATGAGACACAAGTTACCCTTGGAAGCCTGTTATCGGGTTTATCACTGTTTGTTTTTTGGTTTGATTATCTCTTTTTCTATTTTGTCTTTCTCACTTTCTTCTAAATTTCTTTCTTTCACTATTTCTCTTTCTTCTCTATTTCATCTCTACATTTCTTTCTTTTCGTTTTCTTTTTGTTTGTATGTTTGTTTGTCTGTATGTCTGAGTCTTCCTTATTTCTTTTTCTTTCTGTATCTTTCTTTCTCCATTCTCTCTTTTTTTTCTTTATCTTGCCATTGCTAATTTCTCCTTCCTTCTCGCTTTCACTCTACATCTGTCTATTTTTTGTCTTGTTTCTCTAGCTGTCTTGTTTTGTCTGTCTTACTGTCTATATTATGTCAGTCATCTGTGTGTGTGTATGTGTGTGTGTTTCTTTGTGGTTATTTTTGGTTATCTGTCTTTGTATCTTTACTCGCCTTTGTCTCTCACCTCCTGTGTGTCTGTCTGTTTCATAGTTTTCTGTCTCATTTTCTCTGTATCTCTTAATATTAGTTTGTATCTCTTACTGTCTGTCTATTTATCTTACTGTCTGTCTACCTGTGCCACTGACAGGAGGCTGGCGAAGGTTCATCTCCCACACCTAAGATGCTCTCCAGTGTTCGTGCTGGTAATGACTTACGATGATTCAGGCCACAGACATAGGCGGTATAACTCAACATGACTGAGCTGATTTAGTTTAGCCTTGGCGAGGTCTCACAGGTATATTATCATGTCCAGCAGTGCCACGTCCTCAGCTGCAATGGTATCATGGCATTACGCATCAGTTTTCCTATTCTTGTTGGTGTCAAATTACGCATTATTTTCTCTATTGGTCATTAACCCATTATATTACGCGTCATTCTTCCCGTTTTTATTGGTTATTTCGCTGCATATCATTTTCACTGCTTTTGTTGAACAGTTTTAGAGAATCGTGTCTTGGTGGCACTTACCATAGAGAGGGAGAGAGAGAAGACGTTCGATAATTTGGTTTCAGCCTTCGATCATGCAGGAGTGACTGTAGCCAATCATACAGGGACTGAAACCATCTTATCATACAGAGTAAAAAGAGATCTTATACTAGGAATTAAACTACCCATTCATACAAGAGTGGCATTGTATTCAACCATCCAGGGTGAGACAAATATCATACAGGGAGTGTAAATATCATAGAGAGAGAGAAGAAATATTATACAAAGTGAAAAAAAAAACATATCATAGAGGAAGTGATTATATCATACAGAGAATGAAGTACTATCAACAAACAAGAAGTGAAAATAACGTAATGAAAACAGTTCATTATATTCGGTGTGAGGGTAGCCTACGTGGGTGGAAACTATCATCGAGTACACCCTTGGGTGGTGACCTCTACCACTCCTTACGTCAACCAGACTTACGCACTTAACACCTCTCCTTAAAGTGGGAGTGAGTTGGTAATGGGGGGGATGCTGGCATGTTGTAGACTCATGTAGAGCGAAAATATTCGGATATTCGGGCCTTGTCCCAGCTACCATGGGGAAAACCCTTAATTCAAGGTTACTCAGACGAACTGAAAAAAAAAGAGACTATTTCAGCTATTAAGGCTGGTGTACGTTTGATATTAGCCAACAAAAGAAACCTTACTGCTGTGTGTCATCATCGACTTTTTTTCTATGCTGGAGAAAAACGACATTTCGCCTGAGGGCGACACTCCAGGTGATATGTTGCTGCGCTGTTGGTTTGTGACAAACTTTGTCCAGTAGTTTCACTCCTGATAAATAAACTTCCCAAATATTGGAATTTTATTTTGTTTTAAGAAGAAGTGGGTCTTAACACGCTACTATAACTGAAATTAATGTAAACTACAACATAAGGCAACCGATATTAACGTACACCACAGCACATTATACTGAATTAAAACATAGTTCTTTATTTTATCTCTATATATCTAAATCAAAGTAAATTGACGAAATTAGTTACCACACTAGATATGTAAAAAATAACATACCTTCTGTCCGTCGCACTGCCATTCTTGATGGATGCAGCCACCTGACGCACAAGCAAACATATGAGAGGGACACACATTCTCAACGATCTCATGGTGTGTCTCCTTTCGTTCACATCTGTTGGGAGATATTTTCTTAATATAACTACAATTTTGGACTTAAGTTTCAATATATTTTTTGGAAAAAGTCAAGTACACATTGCACGCGCATAACATTAAGATGTCATGGACTTATCAAACACTACTATACGAGTATATTTACCTACTACTTCTACATACTACCCAATACCTGCTAAAGGTAAAGATTGGCATTGTTTTTAGTGTTATGAGTCCCCATCTTTCTTCGTCTTAAAAGCCCTGCCCACTTATGGCAAACCGTTATTGTGTCTCCATACAAACGAATGTACATCAGCGCCGAAAACTCTATTAAATCTGATAATTCGTCAAAAACATTAAAACAAACCAATTTCTGTTAGTAATTTCCAATTATGCACTGTACCATATCTTTATACTGACAAATAATAATAACACACACTACCCAGAACAACCACATACTACCAATACTACCTCATAGTTCACACTGAGGCGAAGTTTACAAGCTTGTAGGGGACTACAGGTTAAATAGCCACACTACTGCCACTCACTTCACTCGCGCATTAATTTTATGAACCGATGAAAGGTCGTACAGAGAGTTCCCATACCATATTGGAAGAGTTTCTATCCTGTTGTTTCTGAGATATGATAATCTAACTGTAAACAGCTTTAATTTTTCTTTCATTTCACCACTTACCAGCTTACTAGCCGTTTGGGCGATTAGTCTATACTGTTAATACAGGAGGAAACCGGAATCCGGGAAACTTGTGATGTTTGGTAGAGTCACATAACACACCTTCTCACATGTGTCCGAGCCAAACTGGACATAATGGTGTATCACCAACGCCCTTCTGTACCATCAACATAATAAAGTATTTACCTCGGAATATCGCAAAAGTTAGCCCTTCCTATTGAAGTGAAACACCAAGGGATGTCATCACCGTCTGGATTTGCGCAGTAGTTATTCGTCAGTCCGCGAGTCTGAGTAAAATCTCTAATCTTCGGTTGAACATGTGGGTCTTTCCATGGTAAGCAAGGTTCTCCATCAACAGTAATGTTGGCTGTGCCTGCGTAAGTCATCCCTCGATCTTCGATGCAACCTTAGTATAGAAAACATAATCACAGAAAATTAAAAAAATTATGGCACACTAGAACTTTTTGGTTTTCATTCCATTTCACCACAACAGAGATGTAATTACGACACAAAAACTCAAGGTTTACTAACACAGGGAAATAATCTTGTATGCAATGGTTAATACCCTGTATATGATTTATTAGGAAAACATAAATCCCGAAATCATAAAATTTCAATGAATTCTACATATATTTAACAATAAATAGTAAGTAAAAGCAGCAAAATTGGACATTTTGGTTCAAATTAAGGATGCCTTAGGTTATCCACAGAAAAGCAGTGCAGTTACTTACCAACGTCGATTTTATCAGTCTCACACACGAAATGCAGTTTCTGGGCACAGTCAGATAGCTGCCAAAAAAAGAAAGTAAACAGTGTAGGCTTAAGTATACGGGCATTGAAGCCTTCAACACTCGTATAGCTGTGATGCCTCTAGTAATTCACCAATATTGCATTGTAACAATCATTATAGGCGTCGACAAATTACACGTCCCCCGACAAGTGATAAACATTATTTTTTACTGTATTTTTTCCTTCATGTCTTCTACCTTACTTTTTTTAAAACCTTGGTAATCGTATGGATAAATCTCGTCATATTGTCTCTCGTAATGGCTGATAAATTGCGCTTTCCATGTTGTCTCTCGTTCGAGGACAGTTCAGGTTAGATTTCTCGAAAATCATTCAATTCTCGGCAGTTGTGAGAGACAACGTGACGAGTTTTGTCCGTACATTTAGCCTCGACCTTCTTGTTTTATATATTTCTCTCGTGTTTCTTGAGGTGCCGGGGCCGAGTGGTTACAAAGCTGCCCTCCTGACCTACGGATTGTTAGTTTATACCCAGAGCGCCCCCAGTTCACTCAGCTGTGAATGGGTAACTGACTTTACATTTGGATAAGAGAAGGTGGTCGAATGCAGTGTCGGCTACATTGCTCCCTTGTGTACCAAAATATACTGCATAGTCTTGACGGTGCTCTATTTCCACTGCCCCTAGCGAGCCGTCAGGTCTACGAAACCCTCTCATTTTTTCTCAATGTTTTTAATTCATTACATGCTCTCTTTCTTATTTACCTGCCAGAAGAAGTACTCGGCCGGGGCTGTGGTTCGTTTGTTGCTGCCCTCGCCCTGCTGGATAGGGAAGTTGTCTCGTATCACTATACACTGAGTCACACTCTCCTCGCTCATCACATCGCCATTCTTCACATCTTCATCCGTCACTCTTTGATTCCCGTTTTGCTGTACGCCCACCGTCACATTCCAGCCTGTAGGGAAAACAATTTCATGCAATGTTTAAATCATTAGAATGTTCCATAATGGTCACGGCAGGTTATATGTTAAGGTAAAAATTATAGCGTCACCAACACTACAGTATACCAACCATTGGACATTACATCTATCGCTCTCTCTCACCTGGCCACCAAAGGGTGAACGGGAGGGATGGGGCGGGTCGGGTGGAAGAATTCTGCCACAACCAGAAGGTGTCGCCGAAAACTTGGGTTCTGACACCGCCTGTGTGGAGGCCAACAGTGTCCCTTGCCAGTGTTTCCAGCAACTCCGACAAAAAGTCGCTCTCATTCTAGGTCATGAAGATAGGTGTCAGAGATTACTGGTATCGACAGAGGAGATGGATGTGTTTATTTGTCTAAAAATATTTTTCAGTGTACATGGAAGTGTTGAAAAAAGCATGTACAGTTGCTCCAAAGAGTTCCATTTCTCCTTGTGGTAACGTTTGCGTAATTGTGAAATGGTCGCAATACTAGAGTAAACTTATTAATGCCTCCATAGTAGTCTTGTGACAATGGAGCAGATTGGTGGAAAAGATTTCTAGACGTAATTTCGCTTGGCGATAATGATAAATAGATATATAAATATAATATACATTCAATATAATAATATACACATAGATGCTTCTTATAAGGAAGAATACAAATATGAGTGATAAGGCTTTAAAAATAAAACGAATATGAGGAAATTTATGTAATTCATGATTACCAAATACCAGGAAGCTTCTTCACATGGACCCTGGAGCCGCTACACATCGTCCTTGGTAAATAACACACTGGTTCAAAGTAATGAAACAAACCCCCAGGAATCATAAAATGTGCATCGTTTTTGAGGCCAAAAAATTGAATTTCTGATACAGGTTAATTAATTATTCTAAAAGTTCCTGGCGTTTGAAATTTAGATGATCAAATTCCTTGATCACTTTTACAATTTTGGTGTATAAATTTTGGTTATAATCTCTGTATAGGTAGTCTTTGATGTACAGATTAAGGATCCCTATAAAGTCAACGCTTACCCCCAAACATGTTAGCATGGATAAATAACTTTGAAAAATTATTTGCTTTCTGTTTCTACACCCTATCCATGCTAACATGTTCAGGGCTAAGCATAGACTTTACATCTTGGCTGACCACCGATACAAACCGGCTGACCACCGGTTTGTATGATTCGGAAGGGGGGGGGGTTGAACGAAGTGAAGTGTGTGGCTTATAAGTGGTGTGGACTTTGCAGTACGTCCTAAAAACTGACCTGGGAGGTGATGGACAAAAGCCTGGCACCCTTGGTAGAGCAGAACTCTCTGGCTTGGGCGTGTGTCACCAGGACGGATGTGTCGACGTAGTAGCACTTGTCCCCCCATCGCACCCCGTTCTCACCACACTCAGACACCCAGTTCCTCAGACACCTTACTCCTGCAGGGGACACAGAAACCCCATCCAGAGATTCAGTTTTGTGTTGGGATTTAGATTTCTATGTAGTAGGTGTAACTGTGGTAGTATACGGGTTAGTAGTAATAGCAGTAGTAGTGAGAACAGCAATACTGCTACCAGTCAAAGCTACATTAGAAGTTGCAGGAGTAGAATCAGGGACAGATGGGGCAGTGGGAAGAACAATGGTATGAGAAACGGTGAGATAAATAGTTGTGTAGCAGCAGAAACTGAGTACAGGCAGTATTAGGAGCAGTAATAACGAGATTATTGGCATAAGCAGTGTTCGTAAAGCTAGCACCAGAGGCAACAGCACCAGAAGCAACAACACCAGAGGTAACAGCACCAGAAGCAACAACACCAGAAGCAACAACACCAGAGGTAACAGCACAAGAAGCAACAACACCAGAGGCAACAACACCAGAGGTAACAGCACCAGAAGCAACAACACCAGAGGCAACAACACCAGAGGCAACAGCGCCAGAGGCAACAACACCAGAGGCAACAGCGCCAGAGGCAACAACACCAGAGCCAACAACACCAGAGGTAACAGCACCAGAAGCAACAGCACCAGAAGCAACAACACCAGAGGTAACAGCACCGGAAACAACAACAGCACCAGAGGCAACAACACCAGAGATAACAGCACCAGAAGCAACAACACCAGAGATAACAGCACCAGAAGCAACAACACCAGAGGCAACAACACCAGAGGTAACAACACCAGAGGTAACAGCGCCAGAGGCAACAGCACCAGAGATAACAGCACCAGAAGCAACAACACCAGAGATAACAGCACCAGAAGCAACAACACCAGAGGCAACAACACCAGAGCAAAAGATAACAGTGGAGGCAACAGCACCAGAGGCAAACAACACCAGGAGGCAAAGAAACAACAGAGGCAACAACACCAGAGGTAACAGAGCCAGAGAGCAAAAAAAACCAGAGGTAACAGCACCAGAGGCAACAACACCAGAGATAACAGCGCTGAGGCAACAGCACCAGAGGCAACAACACAAAACAGAGCAACAACACCAGAGGTAACACCAGAGCAACAAAAGAGCCAGAGCAACAAGAGGCAAGAACAAACAACAGATAACACACCCAGAGAAGAGAAACAAAACACCAGAGGCAACAACACCAAAGGCAACAGAAAGGCAACAGACCAAAGGCAACAGCACCAGAGGTAACAACACCAGAGGCAACAACACCAGAGTAACAGCCAGAGCAACAACACCAGAGGTAACAGCACCAGAGGCAAAACACCAGAGGCAAACAGCACCAGAGGCACAGCACCAGAGCCCAGAGCAACAAACACCAGAGGGCACCAGAAGCAACAACACAGAGGTAACAGCACCAGAAGCAACAACAGAACAAACAGAGGTAACAGCACCAGAAGGCACACCCAGAGGCACCAGGAGGGGCAAGAAGCAACAACACCAGAGGCAACAACACCAGAGGCAACACAACACCAGAGGCAACAACACCAGAGATAAGAAAGCAACAGAGAAACAGCACCAGAGGCACAACACCAAGCAACAGCACCAAAGGCAGCACCAGAGGCAACAAACACCAGAGGCAACAACACCAGAGGCAACAGCCAGAGCAACAACACAGGCAGCAGCACCAGAAGCAAAAAAACAAGAGGCAACAGCACCAGAGGCAACAGCACCAGAGGCACAGAGCACCAGAGGCAACAACACCAGAGGCACAGAGGCAACACCAGAGCAAATACACAGACACACACCAGGCAACAGCACCAGAGGCAACAGCACCAGAGAGCAACAACACCAGAGGCAACAACAGAGGCAACAACACCAGAGGCACACACCAGAGGAACAGCACCAGAAAAACACCAGAGCAACAACACCAGAGGCAACAACACCAGAGCAAGCAAACACCAGGAACAAACAGCACCAGAGGCAACAGCACCAGAGGCAACAGCACCAGAGGCAACAAACCAGAGGCAACAACACCAGAGATAACAGCGCCAGAGGCAACAGCACCAGATGCAACAACACCAGAGATAACAGCCCAGAGGCAACAGACCCAGAGCAACAGCACCAGAGGCAAACACAGAGCAACAACACCAGACAACAGCCAGAGGCAACAACACCAGAGGCAACACCAGAGATAACAGGAGGCACAGCACCAGAGGCACACCGGAGGCAACAGCACCAGGCAACAGCACCAGAGGCAACAAACACCAGAGGCACACCAGGCAACAAACACCCAGAGGCAACAACACCAGAGGTAACAAACAGCACCAGAGGCAACAGCACCAGAGGCAACAGCACCAGAGGCACCAGAGGCAACAACACCAGAGACAACAGCAGAGCAACAGCACCAGAGGCAACACCAGAGGCAGCCAGGCACAGCGCCAGAGGTAAACAACACCAGAGATCAACAGCCAGGAGGCAACAACACCAGAGGCAACAACACCAGAGACAACAGCACCAGAGGCAACAACACCAGAGGCAACAACACCGAGAGCAACAGCACCAGAGGCAACAGCACCAGAAACAACACCACAGAGACAAAGAACAGAGTAACAGGCGAGGCAACAGAAACCAGAAACAGCACCAGAAGCAACAACACCAGATAAACAGCGCCAGAGGCAACAGCACCAGAGGCAAACAACAAGCACCAGAGACAAGGCAAGCACCAGAACAACACCAGAGGCAACAACACCAGAGGTAACAGCGCCAGAGAGCAACAACACCAGAGGCACAGAAGCAACAACACCAGAGGCAACAACACCAGAGGTAAATAACACAGAGGCACAGCGAAGGCAACAGCACCAGATAAAGCACCCAGAGGCAAAAACACCAGAAACACACCAGAGAGCAACAGCACCAGAGGTAACAAACACAGAGAACAGCCAGAGGCACAGCACCAGAGAACAACACCAAAGCACAACACAGATAACAGCAAAACACCAGAGGCAACCACCAGAGGCAACAGCACCAGAGGCAGCAACAAGAGGCAACAACACCAGAGGCAACAAACACCCAAAGCAACAACAACAGACAACAACACCCAGAGGCAACAACACCAGGAAACACCAGAGGTAACAGCACCAGAGGGAATAACACCAGAGGCAAACAACGCCAGGCAGTGCGCAACACCAAGGTGAAAACACCAGAGGCAAAAAAACAATCAGAGACAACAACACCAGAGGCAATAGCACCAGACAACAAACAGCAGGTAACAACACCAGAGGTAACTGCGCCAGAGGCAACACACCAGAGGTAACAGCAATAAGCAAAATACTCAGAGGCAACAACACCAGAGGGCACAGAGTAACAGCGCCAGATGCAACAGCACTGAGATAACAGCACCAGAAGCAACAACACCAGAGTGCAACAACACCAGAGGTAACAAGCACCAGAGGTACAGCGCTAGAGGCAACAGCACCCAGAGAAACAGCACCAGGGCAACAACACCAGAGATGAGCACCAGGAGCAACACCCAGAGGCAACGACACCAACAACACCAGAGATACAGCGCCAGAAAACAACACCAGAGGTAACAGCGCCAGAACAGCAAACAACAAGAGGTAACAAATAATTAGAGACAACAGCACCAGAGGTAACAGCACGTAGCAACAGCAACTAGAAACAACAACAGAGATAACAAAGCAGAGGGCAACAGCACCAGATGCAAACAACACTGAGGCAGCGAGGTACAGCCCAGAACCACAACCCAAACAACAACACTAACAACACCAGAGCACCAGATGCAACAAACACCCAGAGATAAAAGCGCCAGAGGCAAACAGCATGCACACCAGAGATAACAGCTGAGGCACAGCGCCAGAGGCAACAACACCAGGAAACAACACCAGAAGCAACAACACCAGAGGCAAAAACACCAAGGGGTACAGCGCCAGAGAACAACAGCACAGCAACAAATAATTAACAAAACAACACCAACAACACCAGAGGTAACAGCAACCAGCAACAGCACCCGGCACCAGAAGCACAAATACCAAGCACAAACTAATACAGTGCCGAGTAACAGCTGAGGCAACAGCAACCCAGATAAACAACACCAGAAGCAAGTAACACCAGAGGCAAATAAATACCAGAGGGGTAACAGCGCCAGAGGCAGCACCAGAGCAAACACCAGAGATAACAGCGCGAGGTAACAGCGCCAGAGGCAACAGCACCAGAAGACAACAAATACCAGAAGCAAATAAACACCAGAGCAATAACACCAGAGATAACAGCGCCAGAGTGTGTTCAGATGCAACAAACACCAGAGATAACAGTGCCAGAGCAAAAAACACCCAGAGGCAACAACACAGAGATAAACACACCCAGCAACAACACCAGAGCAAACAACACCAGAGATAATGAAAGAGCAACAGCACCAGAACCAACAAAACCAGAGACAGCAAACAGCAAATAACAAAGAGATAACAGTGCCAGAGGCAAATAAAAACTCCAGAGGCACAGCACAGAGATAACAGCACCAGAAGCAACAACAGCAACAGCACAAGGAGGCACCAGAGGCAACAACACCAGATGCAACAAACAACAGATACAGCACAGAGATAACAGCACCAGAAGCAAATAACACCAGGACAAACACTCAGAGATAACAGCACACAGAGGCAACACTCAGACCAACAACAGAAAGGGCACACACCAGAGGCAACACCCAGAGGCAACAACACCAGAGATAACAGCGCCAGAGGCAACACGATCAAATACCAGAGATAACAGCACCAGGAGGTAACAACACCAGAGGTAACAGCACACTAGAAGCAACAACACCAGAAGCAACAACACCAGAGGTAACAACAGCAGAGGCAAGCAGCACACAAGGCACAACACCAGAACAAACAGAGGTAACAACAACCAGAGGCAGCACCAGAGGCACAGCACCAGAGATAACAGCACCAGAAGCAACAACACCAGAGGTAACAGCACCAGGAGCAAAAACACCAGAGCAAAGCAACAACACCAGAGATACAGCAA